ACATTTATTTACTGGCTACTTCATGGGGGAAAAAGTCCCCGGGGAAACTCTCCAAAGGGTTTGCTCTGCCGCTGGACACGTTGACCCCTCCCCGCTCTGCTTCCTCTCTCCTCTTGCCCCCGGCCCGCTGGGGGCAGCCCCCTGGCTGGGTGCTGGCAAGCAGAATTCTGGGGGCTCCTGCGGTTTCGTGTCAGTATATTGTTGAGCTCTGTGCTAACCAAACTCCAGGTTGGTTTCCTGAGCAGGCTCGGAGGATGCCAAGGGGAAAAAACAAAACAGTGCAGGATGCTCACAGCTTTGCTAGCAGCAAGGGCATCTCGGGGCACGGCCTCCGCCCTCCCCTCTGCCCTGCCAGCAGAGCCACCAGCTGGCAAATTTGGGATGGCGACGGCTTTTCTGCTGGTGGCACAGGAGATGAGGCAAAATAATGGTTCCTCTGCCAGTCACAAGGCTTTCCTCCCCTCCCCATCCCCCAAAACCCAGGCACAGGGAGTAAAAATAATGAACACCGCACCCAGATGCACAGCTACAACAAAAAAACTCTCAAAACCAAGAAAAAAAAACCAACCCGCAGGCAAGACAAATCCTGCTTTTACAGAGCAGGAGGCTGGGAACCACCCACATATTTGTCATTGTAGGCAAGAAATTCGGATGTCTCAGGAGAAGCCTACCTGCCAGATATGCTGCCCTCACCCCATCTCACCCCAGCCGCCCTCGCTGCCAGGAATGGGGGTGGCCCTGTCCCTCCTGCCCCCGATGGCACCTGGGGAAGGGTGGTCCAGGCTGGGCTGTGTGTTGGGGGTGGCGAAGGCAGGGAAGAGGCAGCCCTCCAACCTCCTTCTCTACCTCCATTGGCCACCCTGGTGCGGGGAAACGAAAGCGGCACCTCCCCAAGCAGCTGCTGCCCCTTGCCCAGCTGCATGGGGGGTAGCAGTGTGGGACACCCCGTGGGGGCTGCTGCCAGCCCCCCGTTGGGGTGTGTCCAACACCGCCCTGCGCTTCAACTCACAGCCCGCCACCATCTCCCACCGCAGATCCAGCCGGCTGAGCCGTCCCAGACCCACATGTGTCCCACCACCATCCCCGATGGATCGGCAACACCTCGCCTGTGCCTGACAGCACTGGGGTGCGGGGCTGACCCCGATGAACACCGCAGGGCTGCTTGCTCTGCAGAGGCCACTTGTGTTTACACTTGGTGACAGTCTGTACTCACATAGCGCCTTGCTCCAGCAAGAGATTTACAGGCGAACAGCCTCTCGCACCACTGATAAGCACTGGGCCTCGTTAGTGGAAACCGGGGTGGGGAGAGGGGGGCAGGCATCAGGGATGCCGATGGTTCCCGAGCCTGCGGGGGAGCAGTGCTCCCGTCTGAAAAACGGAGGGGAGGAAGGTTTCCGTGGCCTCCAAATAGCTGTACGTTGCCTGGTGCAGGGCTGGGAGTACAAAGTGTGGGTCTGGCCAGAGAGGAGCACGTGCGTGGTGCCCAGCCTGCACCCCTGCCCCCTCCCCACACACCTTTGCCCTCTCTGCCTGCCTGGGGATGGAGGGAGACAGCAGGATGCACCCCAGATGATCCCACTTGTGGGAAGGATCCCTAGGGGATCTGGAGGTGGCTGCAAGTTCAGGACAACCTCTGCTTGGCTCTGACCCGCTCCAGATGTCCCTGTGCCACAGTGGGGGCCGCAGGCGTGAGGGGTGGTGCAGAGCCCTTCCACGGCCCGCACTTCCGCACCTCGCAGCCCTGCTGGGGAGATAGCAGAAGTCTGGAGAGTTCAATTAGCAACTTAAGTCATTAAGGAATCACACTCAGTTGTCTCTAAGCCCTAACAAAGCCAATTCCCAACATTAATGATTGTTCTTCCTTACACTGCCAGCCACTAAATATAGCTGCCCGTCCACTCAGCACACAGCGCTGATGTTATCTGCTCTGTTTTTACTGGCTCTGCTGCTCTCTGGAAGTTTTCTCTTGTATCAGTGGAAAAGTTCTCTGCTCAGGGAGATGGAAAAAAAAAAAAATCCATCTTCTTAACTTAATAATTTTTCCACTCCGCTTTGCCTTCCGCCACACACACTTGGCCTTCCTCATTTATTCACTCCTGTCTTAATAAAGAAATGCCTCCTGCTGTTGCTGTCAGGTTTGTGGGTGCTGTGTTTATGCATGGCTTGGGACACTGGTCAGTGGAAACCTTGTGTAATCCCTACAGGGTGGACAATTTCATGTGGTGTGCTGCTGGGCTCACACCGCCAACCTGGCCAGGTACAGCCCCCTCCTCTTCCCATCAGGGAAGACTCTACAGGGACCAGCTTTAAAGAAGCAAGAGCAAAAGTCATTGGGGGGAAAAAAGGAGAAAATCCTTTCCAGAGAGCCTCCTAGAGGGCTGCCTGCCTTGCTCTGCCACTGCCGTGTCACAGCTCATATTCCTCTCCGAAATCACTGACATTAACTGCTATGGACAAGCAACACAGCTGCACTTTTCATAGATGGTTCAGGTGAAAGTGAGTATTACAGTCATCTAATCTGAATGCCACAAAATCGGTGTCAGCCTCAACCCCTTAACTGCTGCCTGTCATTTCTCCAGGAAGATATCCCTGTCTTGATTTCAGGACACCCAGTGTGGGAGAATCCACCAGTCCCAAAGGCAAATTCTCTGTGTGGTTTGTCTCCACGTTCTTTGGAATATGTCTCTTATTTTTAGCCTGGTATTTGTCTAACTCCTTGCTTCCAGCCACTTGTTACACCTTTTCTTTATGGGTGAGATGCATCAACTCTCAAATGCAGCACAGTTTAAGCACACTTGACTGGTCTTGTAAGATCCTGACCCACTAGCTGAAAGATATTCCACCCACACAATTCTCTTATTTGCCTTGTGATCCTGGAGCCTGTAAGGTGCATATTTTCAGCTTTGCTCCCAAGCCAAGAAAGGAAGGATTTGCTATTATTTTTAATGGCATCTGACTTTTTCAGCTCATTGTGTAACTGCAGGAGTGGGGGCTACAGAACATATCAGTACTTCCTGCACAGTCTTTCCTCTCGAGCTCCCTTTTTTCTCCAGCCAGGGACTTCTTCCCCTCCTTTTGCCCTGTCCTGTTGGGTGTCTCTGTCTTCTTTTCATTTTAATTGCTATCTTGCTTTCTCCGATCTTCATCTTCACTTCTTCATGTTTTCCCTCTGCAATTTGCTCCTTCCCTGGTCACTCCATCCCTCTGCCCCATCTATTCCTGCCTGTCAGCCAGGGAAACCTTTTCAACCTTTTGCTGCAATTGCTCCCCTGTTGTGAGCAATGCAAGGATGTGCTCCAGGCAGCTAGCGATGGGCAGGAGCCCACCGGCACAAGCTGGCAAGCTCCTGTGTGAAGGGGAGGTGTGCCTGCAACAGCATCTGCCTGGGGTGCTCAAGGGACCTCATGGTGCTGTCCCTACCCAGCCAGCGTGCCCTGGGGAATATGATGGGGAAATGGGGGCACACAGGCAGCAGGACAGGGGGTGAAGGGCAAAAGAAACAACATGAGTTAGCAGTACTTTGGGATAGACTCAATGCAGGAACCCGGAATGAGGTTTAAACTATGACACACATACTACAAGCCCCAAAAGACAAGGATACTGTTTGCAAAATGGGTACCAGACCAGGCCCAAGAGAACACAGAGAGATGGCTTAAGTAAGGAAGGGTCGTGAGGCTTTAACTGTCAGCTGAGAATACTGCAGCAGCTTTTCAGTAACAGCACAAGTCTGAGTAGCAGATAAATAAGCAGCCTACCAACAAGCAAGCCCAAATTCCTAGTTGTTACACTATGGGTAAGCTGTAAAATACGGTGTTAGACGCTGCGTGCGTGCCTGCCATTGGTAACGCTCCACAGCCTGCCTCACACCCCAGGGACGGAGTTGCACGCTTGATTTCAGTCTCGGTGTCTACTTTGCCTTTACTGCCACAGCTCCCAATGCACGTACCTACCAGAGACGGCTTTGCCCCACACAGAAACACAGCTGCTTCTAGAGTAGAGCCCAGCCACGTTTAACAGCCCACCATCAGAGCAGGGAATGGAAAAAGTACAGACATCATGACCATGTGAAAGCAAAGGGTGCATTGACTGAACTGGCAAAACAACTTTCAAAGTTAAGGTGAGCCCCAAGTTTGCTCTTCATCACAACACAACCCCCAGATGCATTCCTGAAGAGGCAGGCAGGCAAACAAAATCCAAAATCAAAACATGGGGGAAAAAAAACCTCAAACAGACTAAACTGATCTTCCCCACAAAAGCAGATAGCTTTTCCCACCCCAGAGCAAGACAAACAGCATCTCCACTGACTGCTCAAAGAACGAGGCAGTTTATCTTACTCACCTTTTCTCTCACTCTGTAGGTCTGATCAGAGAAATGCTGGTTTCTATCCTTCAGGCTAGTATTAAGCTATTAAATGCACCATTTCACCTTGTTTTCCTTTTATTGACTGTCACCTTCAAAGCTCCTCATGGCAGTGTGCTCTCCCACTTCTACCTCCCAACTCCCTTCCCCTTCCATGCAGACCGGCCCCACTGTCCTGCATCAGCAGTTTGAACACCACCCCTGCCAGAGAATCCTCAGGGAACAACCTTCCCCCACATTGATGTAACTCATTGCCACCTCATTTCACTTTTAATTGGCTACTGCTTTTTCTTTTAAGTCAGTTGATAACGACCCTTTACTCATCAGCCTTCCCATTTTAGGCTCTGCTGCTTTTCATGAGGCCAGGTGCCTCGTGATGGCAAGTTTCCTAATGCTGTTCAGCCCCAAGACAGCGGGACTTGTCTGTTTGCCCGCTCACTGTCACCTAGCAAGAGTCAGAGGGTGCCACCTCCTGCTGCTGCAGCAGGGGGAGGTTTAGCACACGCTTGTCATTTCACTGCTCAGAACATTTGCTGTTTGTACAAGCACGCACGTCACTTTCCTTCGATGTAAAAGCCCATGCCAGCAGAAAGAAACCACTGAGAGAAGTGCAGTTTTACCTGGAAAGTAGAAGTTCTCACCTGGGAAAGCTGTGATGGGTTCTGCAAAGGAAAAAAGAAAAAACAACTAGTATTAGAGAGGGCAATATTATACACAAGGCCATGGTTCATGTCTCCGCTATCTGTGGCACCCAAGCAAAGCAGGCATGTGGCTGTGCCCCACAGAAGCCACTCGCTGGGAACAGTGCGGGGTGCTAGCCAAGCCCTGTCTCAGCTGGGGACTGACCAGATGCAGTAACTTGACTCAGACACAGACTTCTGAGAAAAATATGTCCTAGGTTGAGGGTCATTTGGATTCAGCTGGCTGGCCTGAATCATCCAAAGACAAAGGCCGACCTGGCCCAGTGATGAACCCCTGAAACCCCCTAAAATTTCCAAGAGCAGTTTGGTTCCTGGCTCAACTCTGGCATCATTATTCTCATGGGAACTGCGTGACTTCTGGGCATCGATGCCATGCTCCTCTCCATCTCACAGTGCCAAGAAACAAAGGCAAGTGATTTTTTTTCTTCTTTCAAGATACTTTGAAGAAGTAATCTATTACAAATTACTGGATCTGAAAAGCAATAATCAGTACTTATTACTGCTTACTTTCTTGCAGAAGTAATAGACTTCTGATTATTTTTAGATTACTTCTGCATTATGCCTGTGAGTCACAGAAGCAGACTCTGGCTCTACTGAGTGCTATGAAATCATCACTCAAGTTCAGAATGCGAATGACACTTATGTCAAAGGAAAAAATTATTGTGACTTATTAGCTCTCTTTCACGCTAAAAAGGAATCAGATTACTTCCCAGGATTACATTTGAAAAAATAGTAGCCTGTGCTGGAATCAGCTATTCTCATGGCTCTGACAGAGAGAGAGTAGCACTGTATCTCTACTGTTTCATTATTGTTTTCGTTACATCAGAAATGACCCATGAATTATGTTAAAGTTTGCAGTGGGAGCCCTTTGTTAGAAATGATCTGAAACAAACTATCCTTATCAGTTTTAAGATTCCCATTAAACCTCCTAGAATAGGACAAATAATTTTGTGCAGCAGTTTGATTTTATTTTTAGGGCTGGCAATGCTTGAAACTTCGTAATTTATTAATGCTTTTGTTTTGAAATGTCAAGCTTTAGGTTCATGAGGCCCAAGATACAGTAACACTGGAGCTAGGTGAATTGCTGAGCTCAAAAGAAGTTAGATAGGAAATGCCATTAGTGTTAATCATCAGTCTTCCTTCTCTTTAATGCCATAGAAGGCAAGGGATTAAAAGACCACTGTCAAGCCTTAAATACAGGGAATTTGACATACGGAGTATTAGCTCCTTTGACAGATGGGAGACCAGCAGAGTTCAAAGCATCAAAGAAACTGGGACTGATGGCGCTCAAGAGCATCTCTGGGGCAGTCCCGGCCCTCTGTTCTATTATTAATGCTGGTGCCTGCACCATCTTCACCATTGCCTGCCTGCACAGGGCAGCATGAGACACCACCAGCCCTTCCCAGGCACAATGTGTCCTGTGCCTTCACCCCTGAGATACAACCCCTCCAAGGCAGCGTCTGTCCTGCTTGGGTGAGGAGGCACTGGGATCCTCCCCTCACTCGGCAGAGGAGAGAAAAGCAACTTCACTGAACAGCACCTATCAAAGCCCAAAGGGGAGAGAGGCTCTGCTCCGCCTGACTTTTTCCACTGACTTCAGGATGGGCTGGACATGGCCACTTTGCGGATGTTTAATAGTGAAACATGCCTCCCTTGGGTCATGCAGAAGAGCAGGGCAGCTCTCAGCACACATCCAACTAATTGAATACTGCGGGTCCCATCCTCAGCTGGGATGGCTCTAAATCCACATCAAAGCTAGATGGTGACCAGAGCCATCAGAATGTGTGCATGGATATGCCAGCTAGAGGAACAGGGCAGGGCAATGGCTCTGCCAGCAAACTGCTAAAACGCACTTTTCTCTCTTTTTTTTAAAGTCCTCTCTGTCTTTCACACTGAATGAATCCACCTGGCTTTTGGCCTGGTTTGGGGAACAGTGAATTCTAGGACAAAAATTTCTTTTGTTATTCTGTTAACATTGCTGTAAAACCCCTCTGCTATTTTATTTCTTATTAGAGAAGACTCCTTTTGAACTCATTGGCCCCTCTAAGCATGTAATACTGACTGACAGCTGGTTTCTTTTGTCCAACACTTTCCTTTTAAATTTGGTGTATGTCCTTATCACACAGAATAGTCCTCAGTAACCCTCGGCTGCTCTTTCAGCTTTGCACGGCAGAGACATGTGCTTCCTGCTCTCACACCAACGCAGAGCCCCCGTCCCCCAGAGACTGAGTCCCCCTCATTTCTTTCATGGGCGAGGAAAGTCCCAGCTGAGATCCAGAAATTCCCAGTAACTCAAGCAGGGGAGAAGCGGTGGCCAACTAGCAGCCTGCAAGTGAAGGCTCTCCAGCCCTGGCTGCCGACACCACAATCCCCGACTCCACGGCCGCACACAGCACGTACCCATGCAGTTCTCCAGCGGGATGTCGGTGCCTAGCCGAATGTCATCAAGGGCGAGCTCTCCCGAGTGTCCGTTGCGTATATATCCCTCAAACACAATCTGTGAGAAATCAGGACAGAAATGTCAATGTTAAGCTGGGAGGCAGAGAGCGGCTGCTGGTCCCGAGGGAAAGGGCAGGAGATCTGCTCCTGGCTTTCCCTGCACGCCTGCAGATGACCTGAGACTAGTCCTGCTTCCTTGCCCTGCCTCTGCCACCCCTTCCCCAGGGGTGAAAGCTGCTCCGCAGGGACAGGTTTGGCAGAAAGATCGTTACCTGGCCTGGCAGCACTGGGCCTGCAATTTATTCAATTAAATGTCTCTCGCATGGGATGAAGACTCAGTGTATCAATGTTCAGCATCGCAGGCCACCCTCCGGCCCTTGCACAAATTATGCAAGTGGCATAACGCTGACTTGTAGCCGCAGCAGATTTGGCCCATGGTATTAACTGGGCTATGATCAGAAAAAGGAAAGGAAGGACACAAAATGCACAGCTACATTAACTGTAAAGTGCTGTTTCCATCCACATTACATAAGAAGTATTGAAATGTTAGAGGAGAAGGGTCAATTTATTCCTACTTAATCACAGGCAAAATATATTTACAAAAATAAATAGAGCTGTTAGCTCTAAGAACTGCTGAGTGGAGAGACTTGCATTATTTACATAATGATGCTGTTATTTAGCTAATGCCAGTACATTCACGTTTAACGCACAAAGTAGTCAGCCAGTGCCCATCATTCTTATCTGTAGGCATATTACATTTACTGGTATTTTATTAAAAAGCCAAACACACACATGCAAACTAGTTGTGCAGCTCTGGTGCAAAGCTTTTGCCTTCTATCTCCCTGACTACTCTCAAGGGTCCAAATAATTTCCTAGGGCTATGTATTTCACAAACTTCCTCTCCCCATTTTAGGTGCCCCCTTTCTCTGGGGTGGCTGGGCAGCCCGATCCTATGCCTGCCTGCAAGAAGGCCTCCCTGGAGAGCCGGGTGTCTGTCTGCACACGGGACAGGGTGTCAGAGCTGCAGGTCCCAAGCTCGTGCCATTGACCCACGCGGGAGGCAGCAGTTTGGAGGGGTCAGTAGCCTGAGAGCAGCAGCTCCCTGGGTCAGGGTTGGGGCTGGGAGCCAGCCGGAGCACGGCTCCCTGCTGGGGTGGTCGTCAAAGCGCTGTCTTGGCCTGTGAGTGTTTCCTTCTGCTTCGGAGGGTGCTGGATGCTGTGCTGATGCTCATTAACAAGTGACAACAGCAGCCCTGGCTCCCTAGCACACGGCGTGCTGCCCAGAAGGGCTAAGCACGCCAAGGGCACTCCTGGAAGCAGCAGCCTCTCCACGGGGCACTGGCACAGCCGTGCCAGAGGGGCTTGGGCAGCTGTGCAAAGCAGCGCAGATCCCTCCAGCTCATCCCTTCTCTTCCACTGATCTCCTGACAGTGGGACTGGGCCTTGATCCCACAGCGCTGCACCCAGCCCTCTGATCCGGTCTCAGGTATCTGAGAAGTGGATTCACAAACGAACCTGCATTCCCCCTTCCTTCTCCCACGCCAGTGCTTGCAGCTGAGGCTGGAGACAGGCTGTTTGCTGCCTACCCTTAAGAGCCGGCTGTGCCCCCTCCCAGCTTCCCCCCTCTCCTGGCTGCAGGCTTTGGGTCTGCTCCCTGGAGCTGCGTGCCTGCCCCTGGCCAGACTATCTGATGACCATCAGTTGGGGGTGGGGAGAATGCACAAAACAAAACAACAAAAAAAATATTTGCAAAGTGGGAAATTTGAGGAATATAAAAGGCAACAGGCTGAACAAAGGCCCAAGTCTGTGCAGAAGACAGGCACTCTCTGAATAACAAACAGTGTCGTTTAGTTACTATAGTAACTCGAGAAACACAATGAAAACAGCCACATTCCCTAATGATGAATGGACCCTGGCTCTGAAACACTGTAATAAAGATGCTGGAGATGCCTGCCGGGTCCAGCACACCTTCCCCGAGCATCTTACCCGGTACTCCATGTCATAGCTTGGCAAGATGATGCGGCCTTCCCTCCACTCCTCCCCTTGGTCCTCCATGATGACCCACAGCGCCTTGTGCTCCTGGCTGGCTTCCCGCCAGACCCGCAGCATCACCCCATTGCTGCCCCACGCCTGGTACTGGAAGACCATGCAGACAGCACTCCGGGGCAGATAGATGGTGGGGCTGATGAGCCGGGCTCGCTGGCCTTCCCTCCTTCCGTTGCTTTGGAGCTGCAGGTAATTCTTGCTGTCTGTTCAAAGAAGAAAACACCATTACGTTATTTTCTGCAGCCACTTGCAACAAGCATCTCGCCTCCTGCCAGGTGGCTGTGGCAGTGCTGGGCAGGCTCCCACTCCCACGCCTGCAGGAGTGAGGTCTTGCACCAGCACCCTCCGTGCGCGTGGCAAGCCGTGCCACTGCTGCGCCCTGTGCAGCCCGGGCAGGGCACCGAGGAGCACGCCTCCCCCACCAGCCACCACTGGTAGGAGGCCAACAGCAAAACCAGAAAGCAGTAAGCCGAAGATCGATATAATTAGAAGTTAAAGAGCAGTTATTGTCAGAAGTGACGCCGTGATAATGACACTGGGGGGGGGGTGTGTTTATTCTGCTCAATGAATAAGCCTGAGGTGGGTTTTCCTAACTACTGGTGCTGAAAACTCATCTCGGGATCGGGATCTCAAACTGTGTTCATCCTGCTTCTTTTCATCCCCAGCGGTAAATACTGCACAATCAGGGTCTAGCTGACAATTTTGTTTCGAGGATACACACGACAAAATGAAAGCCTGGCTGTCGTTTTTTCTGTAATGCAGCAAAACAGCCCCTAAAGCACAGCACAGAGGAAGGATGTGGTCCCAGTGAGTGAAGTATGCACAGGTGACAACTGGGTAGCTGCAAACCTGAAGGTAGCTGAAATACATACAGCAGGGGATTCGCTTGTTTAATATTACATTTTCAATTGTGCCATGCTTTTTGTCGATCCTCAGGGAGGAGATTCAGTACATTTGATATCCCAGGAGAAGTTCAAGGCTGAGACTGGAATTGGAGATACTTGCTCTGAATACCAATAGCAGCAAAAGCCCACGGATGCAAATCCCTGGGCAGAGCTGATTTGGTCTGGAATCAGTAGTTTCCAGCCCTCTCTATTGAGAAGCCTCCTCAAGGAGTTTCCCATTTGCCGCTTGGATGCCTTAAGTCCCTTAGCACAGACTGAAAGCCAAGCGTGTCACTGATCAGATCCTTACCTGCCCCCTCCCATCATGACCAATGGTGGGACAGAGCCCCCTGGGTTGCTGTGACTGCAGTGCCCGCAGTACGAGGTGACACAGGCAGGCCCATGACAAATACTGCTGTACTGCGCATTACATTCAACAGAGGGATGAACGTGCTTGCTCTTGGGCAAGCGTCACTGGTGCTTCACACCAGCAGGTGTGAGCCCTCCTGCAGCCCAGGGGGGTTACCTCTGCCCCAGGACCACACCTAAGGGTCTGTCACTTCCTTTCCCCACGTCTTAGCCCGCTGTGCTTGATGGGCAAAACTCGGAGCAGCAACCCACCTCTCGCTTGCCCTACTCCCTCTGTGGCTTCAGTGCCCACAGCAATGGCAAAAAATCAGCGTCTGCACTGAGAATGTTTGCAAAGTTTACCCAAAACACCTCCAAAACTTAAACCAGAGAGACCTGAACTTAGAGCCCAGTTCCCGAGCATTGCAAGACAGGTCCCACCCAGCGAACAGCAGCTGACTGTGCTGCCCTGCAGCAGTCTGGTGACATCCCAGCCCAAGGGAGATGTATCAGTGGTTGCACAGCCGCTGGCCCTGCCGCAAGTTTGTCACTGCCAGAGAGCTGGGCTGAAACCAACCACCGTGAGCTACACAGCTTTCTAAAATAAATTTAGGACAAGACAGCAGAAAGATTTGCCATCATTCTACTCCTGGGATGTACGATCAAAATATTGCAAAAGCGTATCCACTCCATATGAACTTTCACTGCTTTTGCTGCGTGAAGGACAAATCTGTCCCTGACCGGCCACACAAAGAGCAACATTTTCCAACAATATTTTCCAGCACCTATGAAACATACTTGGGCCACTTGGCACTTTATGCCAACAAACAGTAGCAGAAAAAAAGATGAAATCGTGTTTGCCCACTCCTGCTTGAGTGAATCACTTGAAAAAGTACCATGCCGTTCTCTAATGGAGGAGTGTTCTTGTGATTTACCTCGGAGTGGTAGTGGTGGAGGAGGAGATGTGGGAGATAAACAAGTGGAGGAAGAATGAAAAAAAGAACAAGCTGTACTCCATGCCTAAGGAGCGATAAGGCATAATAAGTCATCAAGGTCTCCTGAATTAAAATCCTCTTTTTGTAATTCACTACAAGCCTCTTCAAAGAAAAAAGCAACAACAACAAGAAAAACACAGCAACAACAAACAAGATGGAAGAGCAAATCAGACTGCGATCATACAATTGTCTCACAGCTGAAATGGTCTCACAGGCAAATCCTTAATAAAAGCACCAGCCAGGCTCAAGAATGATCAAATCCAGATCCTCAAAGTTCAGGACCAACCTACGGTGCCAGTATCTAGGCAGCCTGATTGAGTGCAGGGATGCGAGCCCCTCTTGGATCCAACACAGCCCACAGCTGACCCCAGGGGACTATGTTAATTGTGCAGTTGGATGGCCCCCACGATCCACACCCCTCACTGGGAGCCAGCAGTACCCAGCGTTGCTGCCTCCGCCGCTTCAGCAAAAGAGCCTGCGTGCCTCTGAGTCACATCCCTCCTGCCAGGGATGACAGTGACCCCCAATTTGTTCCTGTTCCTATCAGGCTGTGAAATCAAAGAAACTCCTGAACCGCAGCCAAAACCAACGCCCCTCCCTACCACACAGGCTCTTTCAGAGTCACGGGAACCCTCCCGAACCCTGCATCTTCTGTGCTCCCTGCCCAGCGCTTGCTGGGGCCCACAGACCTCTCCAGGACCTGCTGGCAATCCCAAGGGCTGTGGAGAGGCTCAGTCCTTGGGTGATGAACCCAGCTGCTCCCCTGCAAGTTGCAGTAGGTTTGGGTACCACACACCTCTGCTCCTGGTAACAGGAGCTTCTGCAACCGAGAGTGGACTGCAAGCAGACGTGACTTTCTGTGTCATTTGAAGATGAAATGGCTGGATCACTCTAATGGCTAGCTGGACCTTTTGAAAAGCCCTGCAAATTTGCTGAGACTGATTGAACGAGGGCACTGTGAAGCTAATTGTTGGAACAGCATGTGGGAGCCCGGTGGTTCCAGTAGTCGCTCTGTTTGATACAGTAAATGGAAGCCTTTGGCACAGAAAGCACCTGAAAGGCTGATTTCCCCTACTAAAAATGCTTGAAGGGAGCCTTGCAATGATGAGCTGATCAATTCTTCCAGGATCAGAAATGCATTTTAATCTCTTTCCCAGAACTTTGCTTTGCAGCCTCTATTCCAGCTAACACGGCAGCTACATCCCCCACCGAACTGGCTCTGGTAGTTCAAAGCGCCGGCTCAAAGAAGGCAGGACAAACCTGCTCAGGCATTTTAACCTACCGCTGTTTTTGCAACTGATGCTACAGCATAAATCTCATGGAAGATTTATGGGATCATCTGGATGTAGGGGAGCCAGAGGAGCGTGAACACGCAACCGTCCCCAGCCAGACGATGGTAGAGTTGCTTGTACGTGCATGGCAGTGAGTCCCAGATAAATCACCAGCCGGGCCCTGCAAACAAACCATCTGGCCAACACGGTTTCCTCTTGGCGCGCCCATCCTCTCCTGCTAGCAAGCCATCTGAGAGGACATTAGGGGCGGCGGGGGGTTGTTTGGGTCAGGCTGCAACCACAAGCCACGGCAGCCGCTCCCTCCGCAAGGTCAGCCTGTCTGTGCTCAGGTCCTGCACATCTCACCCCGCCCCAAGAAAAGCACCTTCCCTCCTCGGCACATCTGGAGGCTTTCCAGCAAAACATGTCGGGCAGGATGTACACAAGCAATTACTGAGATTTCAGATTCCCTCTGCGTTTCCCCCTTGCTAAATATTGTTGAGTTACAGGTGCTGCTCCTATGGAAGACCCACGCTGAAATGCCTTCACTTATGTCCCTCCAAAGGTCACCACACTCCTCTTCATTGCAGAGTTTGTTTCACCAAGTGTTTTACTGGCAGCACCGCAGGCCACCAGCAGCCACCTCTTGTCTGCCAAGTCCCGTAGGTGACATCTTTGCTCTGGGCCCTGCCTGCTGCCTGCACAGCCCCAAATGCCACCCCTGACCGTGCTGTGTCAGGGCTGGGGAGACGTCCCAGCGGGGCCAGATCCTGACGTTCTTCTGGGGTATGTGAGCTGGAGGATGCATCAGCCCTTGCCTTTACTGGGGAGTGCATCAGCTCAGATCCCCTCATGTCTGCAGGGTGCTCTGGTAGCAGGGGGGGTAGCAGCTGCATGAATATGCAGATTGAAACTGGATAGTTATTATATTTTTAATTTTTTTGGCAAATCATGCAAATTCACCTCAAAAGGCTGCCGCCGTAATTTCAGTGACAGGCCTCTCCTCAATGACAGACTTTCATTTACGAAGGGAAATCAATCCTCCGTAAAACTAATATTTATATTAACTAGATCACTGCGTCTGCTGGAAAATCCCCTCAATTTTGATTATGTGTTAATTAGCCTGCCAAGTCCTTGCCATTTCAGTCTCTAAATCAGTCCGTGAAAGGCATAAAACCCCGCACCTGCCCAGAACCAAGCCCTCCGCCTGCTCTCTGGAGCCTTTCTAATGGACGAGCCATTACATCCTCTCTCTTAATTAAGCCTCGCATCCTCAACAGTGCTGCGCAATTGTGAGTCCCGCTGTCTCCCCCCGGGAGTGCAGGGAGGGCACAGTGTCCCTGACAAGCCAAATGCCAATTAGAGCCTGACATTTATGCTAAGTGAGCTGCTTGCCACTGCGCCGTGTCCACCACCAGCCTGGCAGGCACCCTGCATGCCCCCACATGAAAGGGTGTGCGCAGACCCACCCGCACCCGATGTTCGTGCATGCACAATTAAAGGCATTAATCCACCGAGCTGGCACTTCTGCCGCACACGCTGGGCACGGCAGCTTGCTTGCATGCGTGCATGCTTTCCCGAATCGGGCTCTGTGACTCACAGGCTGCTAAGTCACTGCTGCGAACTGACGGAGTGATGCACGTGCTAAGATTTGAGAGACGCTGTCTTGCTTTGCAGACAGCATTCCAGCCAGGTTTTATAGGCAGTGTGTGTCACTGGTGTTTGGGTCCAAAAACTGACTAAGGACTCAGGCGAGAAGCGAAGAAATGGATGAGCCTCAGAGGAATGGTTTCTCCTCCTCTGCCTCCAGCACAGCCCAAGTGCGCCGGAGTTTTGCTGGCAATGCAGGGAGGGACCGTGGCCCAGTCCCTTCTCTCATGAAAGACAGCACAGGCGCGAGGACAGCCACAGGCTCAAAGTACTCGCACAGACCAGCCAATGCTCAGCAAAACTCCCGTGATCTCATTGCTGGGGCGTCCCAGCTCCACCATGCTGAGGGCAGCCAAGGCACAAATGACTTTTTAGGGTTTGCTGTCCTCACTGTGCAAACGAGGGTCAGGAGAGCCGCGTACAGTTTTGCTGAGAGGCAATCTGCACCACACACAGGGAGGGACAGAGTTGGGTATGTGGTCTCCTTCCCACAGCGTGCAGCTGCTCACTCATTGCACAGAAGTGCTTGACTTTCACACCCCCCCCCCAAACTCCCTCCTGCTTCAAAGGGGACAGGATTGACCCTAAAGGTCAAAATGTATCCCAAAGGCACAAGCCCTGAGACTAAGTCTCATGAGAGTAGGCACAGACCCAGTTCAGTCCAGCCCTGCTCCATTAACACCATGAAAACCTTTCTGCTGGTTTGAACAGAGGAGGATCAAGGCCTACAGGCAGAACTTCTCATGGATTACAGGAAAAATATGAAACTTTCCCTTTTAAAGATCCTATGGGAAAAACACAGGAATGGTAAAGGGTCACCATCAGCTTAAAACCAGCTCAACATTTGTTTTCCTTAAAAAATAAGCTCTTACGAAACTTCAGAGCACTACAAACATTCCTCTGCTGGAAAGGCTTTGAAACAAATAAACCTTTCCCTGCAGCGCCTGCAACCCAAATGAGCCACATTCCCGACCCTCAAAACCAGCGAGGCCACGGCCCGCAACAGAAGCTCTCAGAGGGTTTTTGCAGCCCAGCCCAAGAGCTATGTGGGCAGGAGCGCTGCAAGGTTAAAATCGCTTCCTTTTCTGCGTGCATGTACAGCTGCCAACATCCGAACAACGTGGGGTTCGCAATGCTGCCGGGGCTCTGACCCCGACGCCATGCTCACCCAAATCAGAAGCAGCGTGTGGTGGAGGTGCAGACCCCCACAGTGCTCTTCTACGACCACAAGGTATTTACTTAACGACTGCAAGAAAAGAGGAGGTGAAAAAAATGGCAAAACACACTGATTCCAGCTTTTCAGTGCTGGCTTATTAGCGTAGCATCTCTGAAAGCAACGAAAGCGCACCTACCAGCTAAGAATACAACCCAGGATCTTTACACCCTTCAGGACTGAAACCCCGGTGAAATTCAAAGACAGTGAAGAGTTGAGGTGCCCAGCTTACCAACCCAGATTTATTTTGAGGTCTTAAGACCTCTATCTTGACACCACCAATGGCACATTGCCATTGCGTGCAGCAGGAGCGGGGATGAAACCTCTTTGAAACCTGAACTTGTTGCTCCTTGAAGCTTGCTAGGTGCAGCTAAGGGGAATCTTTCTACAGATGGGAAGCATCTGAAAATCCATAGAGGGAAAAATCCTGGCAATCTCTCTTGGGTGCATGGAAAAGGGAGCAACAGTATTTTTTAGGCTTGCAAAGGGCAGGGTAACAGCTGGAACCATGCTGGGTTTCTGCTGAGTTGGGCACTTTGGGTCCACTTTCACCAACAGGGTCCTCAGACATGTAACGGGAGCCTGCAGGAGAGGACGTGGAGCTAATCCATGGTGTGAAGAGCCCAAGGAACACAGGGCTAAAAAAAGAAATGCAGAGCTGCCTGAAAGAGTATCTTGGAAATAAAAATAGTGGAATGAGAGCAGTGGGTGTCTTGTCAGTCTCGAGAAGTTCTCCGCGCCAAAGACGAGGAGGAATTGCATGTGGCGCATAAAATGAAATCGGGAGATATCTGAGGAATTCAGGCCTGTCTCTCAGCAGACTTTTCTAATCAAGTGCTTCACAGAGGATATTTCACCATGGTCATTTCCTTTCCCCTCTCTCTCATGCAGACTGAGCCAGGGCTCCTCCTTTCATTATTATTTTTTTCCCTTTTAATTTTTGTTTTGCCATTTTCAGAAGAAACAGAAACACTTCCCACATGGCTCTTAAAGGCACAGCACATTTCCTTGCTACTGTGGAGCAGTCACAGCCTCTAGCCCAGGCCAGCACCTTTAAATCAGAGTAAATCGCGCTCCGGTGGCTTTGAGTTCCCGTTAGCTTTCGCCCTGCCCCTAAACCAAGCACAGCTGCTCTCCTTCACCCAAACTGCTCACCCCGGAGTGGGGAATTCACAAGAAAAGACCACCCCAAACAAGAGCTTTTCATTCCTTGCTCCCTGGAGTCTGAGGATGAATTTTTCTACGTAGAAACAAAGTGCTGGAGGGAGTGCAAGGCACGGGAAGAATGGGGGAGTGTGAACCAAACAATGCTTCGATTCTGTCCCTGCCGAGGGGCTGGCATCGCCTCTTTTTCATGTTTCTTGAGTTGCTTTTAAAAGCTGTGCAGGGAGGAAAAAAGCAAATAGTTGTTTCCTTTTGTGTCACGTCTTCTTAATTTCTAAGAGCAGGACCGAAGTGAGGCACGGCAGCGACGCCTGTTCATGCCGGCCCCACCGCAGCCCTGCGCTGCGTGGGCACAGCCGCTGGGAGGGCGCATCCCTGCCCGACCCCCTGGGAGGCTGATCCCATGGCAGTGCCAACAGCCATCCCTCAGCCTGTGCCCGGTGTCTGCTGCTGACTTCCTCGACCGCCGTGGGCAAGTCACTTCAGCCCCCTGGAGCCGCTACCTCCTCCTCTTCCTCTGCCTGTACAGCCCGTAACTTGCCAGGCGCCCGCCTGCACCCCGACGGGGCTTCGGTGCCTGGCTCAGCACTGCACCGTAACGGAAAGCCCTCTGCGCTGGCACGAAACCGCATCACTGAACTCAGCAGGAAACAGTCCCCCCGGCCACAGCAATGAGGTTTTGCAACTCATAACTAACTAAAGAAAGAGAAGAAAGGGTGCAAGAAGGGTAAAAACCACAACTGTGTGCTGAGCTGTCTGAGGCAGCACCAGGCTCTCCTGGGCCGTGCACACGTGCACACACGGGTGCGCACATACGACAGAGTCTTCTAAGAAACTACGGCCAACTAATTGTAGGGAGACTCGGGGGAGAGGAAATGAAATGAAAAATTGAGTCTGAATTATAAAAATAAGTAATTTTTATCCTACTTGCAGGAGGCTTATATTAATTAAACATTATTACAGCGAACGAGATGGGGAGGGTTATTAAGTCTGGGGCTGGCTGTAAGTGTTCTCTCCTGTTGCCTGAGGCTCCACTGAGCTCCAGATATTAATCTTCTAAAGCACTCAAATGCTGAAGAGATAAACACTTGAAATATGAAAATGTTTTTCTCCATAGCAGACACTGTGACCCTATGTCATGCCAAAGAATTTGTCAGATGTCCATATAGGCTGCACCTACAGCAGTCTCAGAAAAATGCTGGGCACCTCAGGAGCTGAAGAGAGAAATGATGTGTGCATTTGTGTGGGGGTGATTTGTGTGTGGAGATATAGCAGATTCTCCTCTTCCCATATGTTTCTGGAATACATATTTTCCTCTTTAGCACTGCCTACCAGGTGTTGGCTGCACGGCTTTCCAACTGGCTGACGGCACTGCCAATCTGGCCAGTGCCTCTGCCAGGTGGCTAACAGGTTCACTCGAATGTTTGCATCTCGAGACTCAACCTTACCGGGGGGAAGGGCAGGGAGGAGCCCGCAACATGCACAGATCCCTGGGCGCATGGCATGCAGACACTGGAGTCACTGGGCGTCAGGGCAGAGCTGAAGACAGGTAAGATCAGCCAGCTCTCCCTGAGGGAGCCTTGAGTTTCATAAGCAATGACTGACAGTGAAGAGAAGCGATGTTACGGTGACACGATCTACTGTCATAAGGAAACTGGCAAATGTTCTTTGTGCCACCCGTGCCACAAAGTCAACGAGGGTAAGGAAAGGGCACTAGTCCCGAGGTGAGTTCCAAGATGTGAAGCTGAAGAACTTGATCTATCAACCACACTGCCAGAAGCAGGCTCCCTTCCAACCCATGCCAGCACATCTCAGTGAGGTCCTCCATAAATTAGGCTCTGCCATGCTCATGTAAATCTTCTGCTTCTAAAGCACAGAAGAGAAAAAGAGCACAAGTCAAACAGCAAGACGCTGGCATATTTCTGTGTTCTTTGGGCTTAGCTCATCCTTCACTTGGAGGAGGCTGAAATCCAGCCTATGTAAGCCCAGAGTGCAGAATAGCTGAAGACTATAGGCAATCTCAGCAACATATGGGAGGAAGAAATGCATCTCTAACAAAAAGAGGAAATGCATTCTGGGGGAAAAGCATTGGGTTCTATGGAGGACATTTGGATCAGGATGGGGAACAAAGCCTGGACTAACCTACGTGGTCACAGGGGATTCAAAGCCCAATGTCTGATTCAAGGCTATCTCAAGAGGACAATTAGTATAATTCAGTGTCAGCGGTCACAGTCCTATAAATAAGTCATGAAACCATAAAGCAAAGCATCTGAAAGCTTCCACAAAAGAAAACGTTCAGCTCTGCACAGTCTTCACAACTCTTGATAGCTGTGCAACGATCAGTCATACTGTTCACACAGAGAAAGCCCCATCAGCTCCCTCTTCCCTGCTTTGGTACGGTATTAACCATCTTACCAGGCACAGTCTCAGGGCTTGCTTCAGAGTTGCCAATCCAGGTGCTTGTAGGCTGAAAAGACCACGTATAACCCGTTGCCAAGTCATGTGACCAACCACAGAGGTCTTCAGGGGGATCAAAGTTGCAGTTGAAGTTTGCAGGGAGATGGAAATCTTATAAAAAGAAATAGAAGCAAAATAAAGTTGGATTAAAAAGTGTTGCTATTAAAAAATGACCCAAAACTAAAATAGCTGGCAAGCCATAAATATTGAAGAAAGCATGAAATCTCACTCACACTGATGCTTTTAACCTATCTCATATTTCACCAGTTCCAGGGATCAGCCTTAAGTTCTGCATCATCAAAATGCTCACACCATGTCCTGCGGCTAATCCACCAAACTAAGCAAATATAAAAGCAAGTACCAAATGCTTCCAGACTCTAATCAGCACCTTCTCTTCATCCCCTAGAGTGGTCAAATATTAAATGCCTTCTTAAATGTCAGGGAAGAGTGCTTCCTGAGTGCCCTGTGCTCATCAGTTCCTGCTCTGGCTCCAAAAGGAGAATCTCAAGTGCTCCAGAAACCCAGCTCCTGAGTGACAGATCTAGCCACTTGCACCAGACGGGAGCTGTCTGTCAACGTGGCGAGCTGTCACTCACCGCTTCCTACCTTCTCGTGGAAATGCTACCAGGGGAAACGTGGGGCCACCATGAGCTCAAGCTTTTGGATTCTGAGCGAAAGGAGCCAGCCTCTATTTCTAGCTCCGCTATGGACTCACCACATGGTCTTTGGGCAAGTCATTTAACTTTTCATCTGTGAAACAGGAGCAGAGCTAATTCCCCTGTGTCAACAGCTTTAAAAGCTCTGGAGAGCCTTCCTGCAGGGAGAGGTCTGTGAGCAGGAGGGCACATGCCAGGGGCTGCATGTAGTAGCACGGCAGCTGCTGGCTCCTTTGGTTGGGGAAGCAGGCAGGGAGGCTGGAGAAAGGGTCTGAGACCATCCCAAGCTCTCAGCGGACATGCACGTCAGAGCCCAATTATAGGCCGGGTTTTTCCTGAGCAAAGAGGAAGTTTTAAATCACAGTGCCCACAAAGTGAGTGATAGCCAGGAGGAGGTGAGTGACTCAAGTGATAGGCATCAGGGGAACTTTGCTGCGAGGGGCAGAGGGCTGTCTTTACATGCTCCCACTTTGAAATAAAACAATGCAGATCATGGATCCTTTTATTCCAATCTAATCTCATACCCTGGAGAGCAGCATTGTTTCTGTTTGGCTGTCATAAATCTAATTGTCCAGAGAAACACACTCATTGTTTATGGAGTATGAGAATGAAAATTGTTGCTAAATCTGAGGGAAGCTGATGGGGAGGCTGGTTCCACGCTCCACGGCATACTCTGCTCTCTCTCTTGCCCTGGACTGTGCCCAGGAATGGTGGTGTTGCAGAGACTATTACTGGCCCAAATTTCCTCTTGGCAGTTTCCCAAGTGCCTCGACGGTAGCAGGGTTGCACACGCTTATCAGTGAGGCAAAGCAATGAGAATCAGGCCCTTTGAGCTACTTCTGCAATTTGCATTTCCAGAACTGAACTACAGCAGAATCCTGATGGGAGGTGTGAAAAAGCCAATTAATGTTCTTTTTTTAATTTATTTATTTTAAAACCTATTAATTTTTTCTCTGGGACTGGAAGCTGAAGTGACAGGAGTCCTAGGAGCTATCTCAAAGGACAGCGTTGCCTTGTGAGATTTCTTGTTGAAGTCCTTGTGTAAATGCCCCAGCACTGAGGCGCAGGCTCTGCTGTCATTCCCAGGGGCGTGCATCTCCCGCACGCTGCACTGCACAACTAACCCTGCACAGCTCTGCCGTACTGCTGTGACCTCTCCCCTTAATGTGGACAGTTCACAGGCTCTAGATGCTCACATCCCCCTTGCAAGGAGCAGAAGATTATGACGTGTGCTTTTACAGGTTGGGATCTGAGGCAGAGAAGATTAGTGTGTGTGTCCCCCCAGCACTGGCTCTTAACAAGCACAGCATGTAGTCTAAACTAACGTTCGGCCTCTTCTGTGTCAGAAAAGGCAAACAAGTGCCACAGATACCAAACCATTCCCTGTGCATGTGACAGCCATCTAAGACTGGGGGGAGGAAGCCAGACTGTCCTCCTAAATTTTAAGTAGCTGATATTTGGGAAGATCCTTAACAGGTAAGTGTTCAGGACATCAGCCTTCTCTACATGTCATGATTTACTCCTGCAGTTGTGACCTCTGCAGAAGGAGCCTTGCATACCAGAGTCTGAATCTCTCCCCTGAATTACTTTCTGAATTTATGACATCCAGCCAAGGGGACCTGGAATGGAGGTGGCTCTAAACAGGGCACTAAGTGAGTTTCTTCAGGTCGCATAAGGAAACGGGAAGAGCAGCTCTTCAAGTCTTGTACCCTAAGGACTGAATTAGCTGCTGTCTCTTGCTCTTGCATCCTTCCTTGATATAACTTATCAGATTTTGCCAGGTTTTATTTGGTTTGTTTTTTTTTTTAATCTTGGCCCATCACTAATAATATTACTCTAAGCTTTCCAGGAATCAGCCTCATGTATAGGAGCTAATGGGAAGATAAGAGTATTTGCTTAGGTCTTAACCCATCACTTATTGAGATAAAGATGTGCTGCTCTGATACATACCCTCCTCTTCTCCACAACTATCGCCACACTCGGTTGCCTCTTCATCAGTTGGGTATGGGGTGGTGGTTTCTTCACTCTTCAAAGTGGGCACCAGCGTCTCTGCAGTGGGCTTTACATCTGGAAAAAAAAAAAGGAGTAGAGATGCTATTTGCAATAAACAGTACAAAAAGCCCAGGTAGGAGGAAACAAAGCAAAAATTTTTTTCTCATGTTCTTATAATGGCAGGAAGAGATAGAACAAGAATACCATGAAATTTCCACGTGCCACAAATGTCAGCATGGTTTGAACTTCAAGTGAACTGGCTGTTTCCATATGGGAGTTCCTTTGATTTAGAGTTCCCGTTGGACAAGGCTCTCCTCTAGACAGACATGCTACTTTTTCTCTTAATTTTTTAATCTACACTGGTGTTGGCAATTCACTTAGCTGTCATTACTGGATAAGAAAGATCACAGGCAGAATGTCTCTCTTTCATAAAGGCATATGACACATTAAAAACACACACAACATTCCCACCATTTGTGTCAATTTATAAAACAAGTCACTCAAACCCACAAATGACGTAACTGCAAAGGGACCCAGAGGATCCCCCAGCACACTCTGGCTCACTGCAGAAAGCATCTGGTTTCACACTCCAGGCTCCTGACTACACTTTCAAAGGGTCCCGTCCAATTTCCCTCTCTCCAACATGGCCCCTGTGAAACAACCTCCAAGCAGGTGTCAGGGGAAATTTAAGCAAGGGAAGGATATTAAGATCAACAGTAAACGACATTAGGTTCCAGCAGTCGCTCCTTTTACGGGTGCATTAACTGGAGTACAGCAGGTTTGATTCTTTCCACTTTTAAAAAGAGGCTGCTTTGCTCAGTTATGTGTGATTGTGTTTCTTTGTTGGCACCCTTCAGGATATCGTTTAATAAAGCCAGAAGCAGGAGGAAATGGCTAAATACATTGAATATTTTCCATAGGCTCCCTTCTGCCCTTTTATTTTCCTGTTATTAAACATGTTGCACATAAACTCTCAGGGGTTTTTTACCTTTTTTTTTTTTTTTTTTCCCAGTGGCTATCTTTTGTTCAGGATAAAATATCAAATAACCTCAAAGTCTTTTAATTTGTAAGTTCAAATTTGTTACAACCCCATAAAACTCCAAACGCAACCAAGAAGCAAATTGCAAGCAGCCAGGCACAGAAAAATGTCATAAAAAAGGGAAAAAAAAAAAGCAGCAGGTGAAGGCAACATATCAAGAGCTGCAAGTTATTTAGAGCCGGTGCATTTTTTTAGGTTGTTGTTCTTTTATATTGAGATTTATAGCTGAAATGTGACAATGTGGAAGGACCTTGAAAGCCAAGTCCCATACGGGACACAGATGCTGAGCGGATGTAAATCAACAGTGTTGCATTGCCCTGGACAAGCCGCAGAAATATGTCTTGAAAAATCAGTTACCATGGCAGAGCTGCAACATGATGGTTACAAGAGATAATGAAAATAGCAGGGAGGACAACGTGATGTGTGAAATGGAAAGTGAAAAAGAGAGGTCTTGCTCGCTCGCTTTCTCTCTCCCTGGCCCAGCAAGTGTCTGTGCAACTGGTGGTAACTGCTGATCAAAATGCAAAGTCACTAAGCAATTGAAACCAGATGTCTGGAACTTCAAAGGAGAGAAAACCAGCTGCAAGTGAACATTCATCAATCTCTACTCTTCAGAGGAAAAATTTTGGCAGGTCTTTGAAAGAAGCCAATTGCTGACTGCCTGCTTCCCAATTTTTGAGCTACTAGCCAACTAGCTTGTGAGCCCAGTTGCTGTTACCTGTTCGACTCAGTAATTAAGATGCTCGTTGCTGATAAGAAATAGAAACAGCTTGGCAGGGTACACATGGGCTTAGGCCCTCACTTGAAAATACTTTCAGTCCTCAGCTTGTTTTAATCCATCTCTTAATCTTGTTCCCAAGCAAGTGCAATTGCCTGAGTTTTCACAGCCAGTTCTGTAACGTGTCTGGGTCCTCCCAGCAAAGGCAGGCTGCATCTTGGCGTTGTCAAGGACTGCTGCATGCAGCCAGCCTGGATTTAGCATGCAGATAATGCCACAGGCTATCTCTGTTCCCCAGGTTGCATCAGGGATATAAACGATTTTTGTAACATGGTGAATCCACCAGATTACAAGCCCTGCTCTGATTACAAAGCTGGATGCCTGCAGATCAATAAAGTTACGAATATTTACGACTTGGCAGTTGAGTTTTAAACATTACAATGTGCAAATGATTAGACAGCCACACTGGGAAATGACCATAAAGCACCCTACCTGGAAAAAACATGGACGTAGCTGTAAAAGAAAATTTGGACCAAAACCAGCGCAAGACGTTGAGGATGCCAAACCCCTCTTATTCTCTAATTTGGAGGAGTGCAATGGAGGGGCTGTCATGTACGCGCTCAGAGGTCTTGTGCGACTGTCTGCCTTTGCGGCAGCGGGGCAGTGCTGTGATGCACCAGCCAGCAATGGTCTGCAGAGATCTGGCAGCTGGAGACTCCCGGGAGCTGCAGGAAGCAGCGATGTGGGAGCTGCCTGACCACTTCTGCACGGAGTCTCAGCTTCTGCTGCTTGCATGAAAGCCACAGCGCCTGCTTCTCCTACAACATCCCAAAGATGTTGTAAGATTTAAATTAATATCTATTCTTGATTTAAAGTTTAGATGATTTACAATGGATTCCGAGTCCAAGGGGAGAGTTGTGATTGACTTCAAAGGTGACAAATTATCATTATTAGTTTTGTGTATGTGTGTTCTGTGATTTCCTGTTAAGTGTTTGTAATGCATCTCACAGCACATCACAGGAGGAAAGACTAATAAAGACTCCAGAAAAGGGTGGGAAAAAGCTCCGTGTCTTTTAAGCTTCCTAGAATGGGAATTCATACAAGAAAATGCCTTCTACAGATGTGTTTATAAAACAGAAATCATATCTCTTATTCACTGACATCTGGACACCAGATTCAGATTTAAGCAGATTATTAAAAAATAAAATAGGTTAAAAAAAGGGACAACTAGCCCCTGGCACTGAAAAGCTAGCATCAGACATGATGAGCTGTTGGGTGCCTTTTTGGCTTTTGGGGATGAAATTATGGAGCAATCAATCACCATGGAGCTTCAGAAGGGTCAGAGGCACAACCTCTACTGATCCCAGTGAGTATGTTAGACAGTTTTCACCTCTGTATTAGAAGTAATGGTGGCTGCAATGCATACCGCTTGTGAAAAACAGGTGGGCAAAAATGAACAAACTTCCCTGGAGATCCCTAGAGATGCTGTAGAGATGTCGTAGAGTTAACTCCCCAACCATGTCTGCAAAAGGATTTCCACATGGGCTTTAATGAGAGAGGAACAGTTGTTTTTACAGCAAAACCTTATTGAGGCAGCTCAAGATACCTGTACTGGTCATACACCCCTCTTCTGCACCTCTGCTGCTCTTCCTACTTTTTGTCTTATCCATTTGGACTAAAAAGCCCAAATGTTATCTAACACAGAGAGTGGGAAAGTCTGCACAACATCCAGATAAAAGATCTGAAAGGAGGGAGAAGGTAGGTGGGAACAAATCCTGCATGGGGCTCTGTGTGAAAGCTTGGATTGGGGTCCAAACATTGCTGCTACATGCTGCATCCAGGCCAGTTCCTTTTAAAGTGGAATTAAAAAGATGGGCTCAGGCCACACTGCAGATCCTGCCTTCATGGCTGCAGTCTCCCCACCACGGTTTGGCCCTGAGGTGGGACAGCAGAGAGAAATAACCTTACATTTGTACCTTGCTGGTTTAGTGCCCGCCACAGCCCTGATGGAGCCAGCAGACAGAGGCACAGGGGCTCCTACCTGTCCAGTCGCAGCCCAGCACCTCCAGGCGCATTCCTATTCCTGCTGGGGACCACCTCTCTGGGTGCACTCGGACATACTGGGCAGGAACAGGGTCAAACCTCCGGACTTCAGGAATATCGTAGTGGATGTTGCCTTCAAAAAGCTACAGAGAGAGAGAGAGAGAGAGAGAGAGAAGAGGCAAGTGATGTGTGCATCCCGCATGCTCTCCATCAGACTTGACAATTTGGGTCTGGCAGGACACAGCCGCAGTTTGAAATAGTTTAGCTGTCCGACTCCAGGCCGTCGAGTCCAGCTGAGCAGAACTGGGCTGTTCCTCCTCAGTTTCGAGAGGACCAGACAGGCTGTTTCTAAGAAACTTGCACAATCTCTCTTGGCCTCTGCTTTATATCCAGGGGTCAGATTCTGATCCAAGCCATTCAGGGGAAGCCTGGGGAACATCCACTAGCTTCACATATAAATAAGATCAGATTTGTGCTTTGGCAAATAAAGAAGCTACTGCATATTCTAGGATAAGCGCTCAGTTTTCCTTACAGTCCAAGTACTGCTGCTTTTCAGCTTACGTGCACCAACTCAAGTCTGTGGGGAATAAACAGAGGGCTATAGATAGCATCAAGCCTCCTAAGACTCATTTGTAGGATCAGGGAAAATTAAAACTTGCCCAAATTTTCAGAAGCACATGAGTTTGCATAAAAGCAGAACAGGCAGTAGCAGAATTTATTACTCAAGCCCTCAGCCACTCCCATACTGCTAAGCAGAAAAATTATGGAGAACTCCAATGATAAGGGAAAAACACAGGGAATTTCAGGGTCACACCAGTGAGGCAAAAGGGACTTCCAAAGAGAAGCTGCAATTCATCTTCCTCTTCCAGAGGTGCAAGCCTCAACAGCAACACCTTTCCCCTTAAAATATGTAATTAGTTTGTGTAAAACAAAGTTGAACACACCATCTTGTGGGCTCTGACCTGCAGAAGCTGGGAGGAGCAGAAGGTGATGTCCACAATAAGAAATGAATGGAAATTGCCATCTCTGGGGCAAAATGGAACCTACACCCTCTAGTACAGCCTAGGAGCAGGACCAGGGGACGCAATCTGGGATTTCATGGTGACAACCCAAACTCCCAAGGTCTCTTTGGGGAGAGACAGCTAATTACCCAAGACCCAGTGAGGCAGACTGAAGACAGCCAGAAACATCTCATTTTGCAGCTGCTCGAGGCAGTGCCTACCTTGGCTTGCATTGTTTTGGGGTCCTGGATGAAGTCCCAGTCCTTTCCATTCATGCTGTAGGCCACCTTAAACTTCTTCACGAAAGAGCGGGACTCAGTGGTGGTCACGCTGTCCCCTCCGCGAGCCCCCTGGATTATGACGCCTTTGATATTCTTCGGTACACCAAGGTCCACCTGCAGCCACTCCTCCCCAGGCTGGGCTTGGGGGACGCGGGGAAACCAGCCTGAGCGGCTGCTCACCAGGCGGGCCATGCTGGGAGACCAGTCGTAGCCTCTGATGGAAGAGGCCGAGATCTGTGAGTCAGGGATGAGGCCAGAAAGCATTCCCAGCAAGTTGGAGCAGGGTGAATCTGCAGGGAAGGAAAGGGCATGAACAGCTGGGGCGGTGGATGGGAGTGCTCGTGGTTTTCCCAGCAGGTTTACACTCTGGACACTAAACCAGCACTAGGCACGTTCCCCCTTGCCTCTGGGGCCTGGGTGCCTGTCTCCCCAAGCACGTCCCTTGGCATGGGTGCCTCCATGCTGCTCACAGTGTCGCTGTTCCCACTCCAAGCAGCCATGACAGCTGTGGAGAGACAGAGAGGAGGGCTGAGGCCGAGGGGAGGAGGGGACCCTCACCGGTGATGCGGCAGCCATACAGCTCCAGCCTCAGGGCGATGCCGTTGTGCCAGCTCTGGGGACGGATGCGCACGAAGCGTGTGAGCACCGGGCTGTGGATTTTGTTGAGAACCACCTCTGTGCTGTCCTCATTGGCCTGAAACGTCTGTAAGGGAGAGAGGGCACAAATATGGTTACATCTTCTCCAGGCAGAAAGATGATGATCACCGGTCGAAATAATCTTAGCAGTGATATCCAAGGAGAGGCTTTCTGAGTAGGGCCAGCCTCTGGCCAGGGCAAGCCCCCGGGGCCGGCAGGGAGAGCTGAGCCGGTGGCAGGGCAGCATGGTGGATGGACTCACCCATCAGGCCAGAGACCCAGGAGCTTGCTGCCCTGCTGCCTCTCATGGCAACCCAAAGGCACCTTGGACTATCAGGCCACAGCTGCTTCAAGCTCACCCCCAAACCTAGAGCCACTCCAACGCAAAAGGCCCGATGTCCTCGAATGCTGCGAGACATCTTGCCTCCCCTCTGCGGGTGCATGGGCTGACAGCCTGACATGTCCTCGCACCGAGCTCCACTGGGAAACACTGTGTGCAAGCGGCGGCAGGAGCAGGGAGGATGCTGCCTCTGCCTGGGGCGATGAGCCACCATCCCAGCCCGCCCCTCGCTCCTGCCTCTTGGGCGCACATGCAGCCCGCCACACAGAGACAGCTTTTCAGGAGGGTTTATGATCCAACATGGTATGAAAAGGCTGCTGCCTTACCAGATGGCCATAATCAATAACTACCAGATGGACGTTAGATCCACCCCTCCTTCCCGTTATTTTAATAGGCCGGACCAGGACTGGATACTTGTGTTTCTGTTTCAGGTTGCAGAGCCATAGTGGGGAACAAAGAGGGGAAAATAGGAAATACCCAACCTGAGGGTAATTTTCAACCCGTTCTCTGCCCCCAGCATAAAGCACTGAAGCTCACAGACTGAGGCTGCAGGCATTGCCCACTTTCCCTCCAGGCACGCAGGCTCTCAGGACAGGGCTAGAGCATCCTCCGGTCTCAGCCAAGAGCCGCATCCTCACTGAGATGTTGGCTGGGCTCTTCTGCAGGCTCCTACCCTGCATATGCCGTGCTAAGCACAGGAGCTCCCGCTAAGTTTATCTCAGAGCAAAGCAGGAGAGTGTAATCTCTGGCACTGATCTACTTCTGTTGGAGGCAAGAGTCAAACAATTCAACTGCAGATCCCTGTGACCCAGGACAGAAAAAGGGGTGAGGCTGTATCCTGGCCTCTCTCCTTGAATAGCAGTTAAGCAGCATTCTATAAGCCTCCCAGCACTCTAGGCCTGCAGACAGCACATGCAACTGCTCTTCTCCCAGGATCCAGCATGCCAGGGTGCATGGAGGGTGTTTGCAGCGAGGGACAGCAGCTGTTTGCAGCACCACAACCAGCTCTGGGCTGCCCCTGCCGTCACCGTCCAGCCCAGGATGGCGGGACTCCTGCCAGGGCAGGGAGCGGCCGCCCTACAGAGGGTCTTGGTTGCAAATCTGGTTGGTAATTGGGATTTGGGGCTGATGCGAACTTGAGCAGAAATGCTAATCTGGAGAATATATATCATGCTGCTACCGTTTAGCAACACAGCATGGTTTATGTGTTTTTAATATCCTATTTTATCCTGTCTGACCCCACTTCCCATCCTTTTCCTTGCTCAGCAGACACCAAATACCCTTTTTTCCAGCAGGAGGGCTATAAGAAGAGTGGGTACTGTGAAACACTCTCCAGGCATTCGAGTGTGTGTGTGTGTGTGTCTTGTAAACCTGGGAACACACACACACAGGCTGAAAGGATACATTTCCACACCGCAGCAAAGCCTCCAGCTTTATGTCAACACAGAAGCTGACACACAACACCTTACCTCTGAACCTAACACCAGAGGACAGGAAATGTTTATCTGAGCCAGTGCAACTATTTTAGCACGAGGAGCAGCACGTCAGGTCAGCCCAAAGGTCCCTCTGTCCCAGGGGGCAGCTCCTGATGGTGGCCCAGCAGATGCCCAGGGGCAGCAAGCCTGGGGGAGTCTTCTCCTGGCAACCTCTCTTCGCTTCTCACAATCAGCAGTTTGAAGACTCCATGAGCCAAAGGTTGCATATGGACCAGCATGTTTAACAGTCACTGATGAGGTTTGCTGCTCTTTTTGGTTTAACATATTTCCAGTTTTGTTCTTTTTTAGCTCACTTCGCACATACGAGCATCAGGGGCCAGAATCCAAATTTACACCAGCGTAATTTGTTGCTGACTTCTGCAAAGTCAAGCTTGACAGAAAGCAGAAGCAGGACTGAGCCCAAAAACTTTATCACTACCACATGCATTGCTGAAAGCATCTCTTACATGACCTTAGTCCCAACCACCTGCTTCCAAGGAGAGCAACCTCAATTCTGCTTTAGATTTGGGGCCCAGTAATTTCCTCAGGCTAGATCACATTCAACAAGCTACGTAACTCTGAACGGGGCCTTGACACTCCGGACTGCCAGTTCACGAGGGCAGAAATGGCACCTGACTTCCAGCTCTAGTATCAGCCGCACTGGCAGGATCTGCCCCCGTGAATCTTGTTTCTGAAAAGCCCCAACTGATGACAGCAAGCCATTGCTTCGCACCCCGCTCAGCATAACAGAAAGGGGCCATTTTCAGAGGGCAGGAGGTGGGTGCCGTTAGAGAAGCGGGGTCCTCCCACGTGCCGGGCCCTTCAGCCTCCTTCCCGAGCAGAAATGCATTGCGAGCCCGCAGGTCCCAGTGCTGCCGACCAGGGTCTGACCCTGAGCATGCGGTTTCTCCGCACTGAAAATGCTGACCCTGGAGCCCGAGCACAATGTGGAGAGAGTCCCATTGACTCAAACAGGCTCTATATCCTGCCTCAAATTAGCACTCACGGCATGGGAAGAACTAGCAGGAAAATGTGTGAAATTGGGAGCGCCAAGAAAGCAAAGATTTCTTCCCCCTTACCAAAATAGAACATTGCTATTCCTCCCATCCTATCTGCTTCTCATCCCACTCAGCACATATTTTGAGCCAAGTCTTCGAATGGTGTAAATCAACATATCGCCATCGAAGTATAAGAAGTCACAGTAATTTACACCAGCAGAAAAAAAAAAATCTGGCTGTGATCTAGGGAGATAGATAGATACACACTCAGCAGAGAGCACACATGCGCACGTACATACACACGCACACGCGCTGAAGGGTGACGGAGCCAGAAGACGAATGGGAAAACCATTAACAAATTAAAAGCACCTTCCAAGAAGCAGTCAAGGGAACTCATTTTCACTGCTGCATCTAAAAGCTGCTTATCCCCTCCCCATATACTTTACGTTTACTTCCGTCTTAGTCCAGTCGGCAGGTCTACACGTAAAATTAAATTGATAATCAATGAGAGCTGACCTACTTAATTAATTTGCTGCAGAAAGCAAGTGGTGGGAGATGAAGTCTAGGCTAGAGGAGGATTGGGCAAGTTTTCCATGTGCACATGCATGCAGGCTCCGCACCAATACTTGCTGGAACCACCACAGGGTGATGGGGGGATTTTTGAAGCTGCATTAGTTCCAGTGAGTATGGGAATTTTGCCAACGGCAGTTTGGAGTGAAGAGAGTGAAGGACAGGGAGACAAAAAGCGCCGCGAAGTCGAAGAGGCAGTGAGTCAGGGAGGGGGCAGGAGGTAACCTCTCTCCCGCTTTATTTATTGTGCTGCTTGGCCACTAGGCAATTTCTTGGGGAGCTAAAGAAAGCGGCTGGGGGAGGCAGCGGAGAAGGCCAAGGATGGCAGCAGCCCTGCCTTCGTCCGTATGTATGTGTCTCTCTGGACCCACTAGATTTACTGCAGGATTATGTTACTCCCGTGGAGACAGAGCCCTGGAACAGAGCATGCTAACAGGATTAGGGCTTCAGGATTTAGAAAGAGAAGCATGAAGGAGAAAAGTAAGGGAGATTATTTTCCTTGTCAGATAGGGAAGGCATAAAATGGGGCATGTTTGATGGTGGGAGGATTCTGGCTCGAGTGGAGGGTGGATAGTTCTGGATTTATTAAATCCAGGAACAAGGAGGTAAAAGAAAAATGATACTTGGCAACACTCAACGAAGCACAGCCGTCTGGGCAAGGCACAGTGTGCTGGGCTGGGCTTGCCAGCGCTGTGTCTTTGAGAGGCTCCACTCAGATCCAGGAGTCACCAGGGACATGAGGAGCGGCACACTGTTAGCCTGCAAAGAGATACCAGGCCCAGAAGGACAAAGCTGCAGCCTTGCTAGGAAAGCGAGGGCTGTAATTCTCCCCTGGTACTGCACCAAGGGTGAATGCGGGGGGCTGCCTGTCCCGAAGCCTGAAGTCTTTGTCCTGCCTGCAAAAGCAGCAGAAGCCGGCTGGGACCTGGGGATGCTTCTGGGCTCTGTGGCCTTCTGGTTGATCACACAAGCTTTTCCTGAGTTGTCCAGACAAAGAAGCCACAGGACCGAAAGCTTTTCTCTCCCTCCCCAGGTGGATGAACACAGAAGACTGCATTAAGAACGGAAAGGACAGAGGAATGCTCCTAAGGGAAGGCACAAGGGTCTCCAAAAAGTCATCCTCAATATTCCTGCCAGCACCAAACACCTCTGATGTCCCCAGCTCTATGCACAGATGAGATACTTGGCTCTGCAGCAATTCAACCTGCCTTCTTGCATCCACCTGAAATACCACCCAGGAAGGTCAGCTGATGACAAGCACAAAGCCATCAAAATGCGTAGGAAATGGAAAATGCGCATCAGCTGGATCTTGCTGCCATTTCCATTGACTTCTACAGATTGTCAAAGTAAATGTTTCAGTTGCGTCCTCCTATTTCACACATAGGGCAATGGAGGCAGCGAAAGCACACATCACAGTCCCAATGCACCCCGAATCCTGACACCCATCCTGTCCCCCAGTCCCTCACCACACTAGATGATCCCTGTGAGCTGACCTCTGCAGTTACTGAGAGCAGCTCAGCCCACACAGGAGCTGGAACCTGAGACCTTACAAAGAAGGAAGTGGATCAGAATGGATGAGCGCTTTGTTTTCTGACAAAATCCTCATAGTTGAATCTGTCCGAAGAAAATAGCCAAAACCAAAAGTTCAAATCCTGCCAGGTGCTCTTTTCCTTCCTTGGGTTCAAGAATGAGTTGTTGTTTTCTAAAGACATTTGCAACCTGCTAGATAAGATCTCGGCACGCACACCAGGGTCGGTGCCTGGAAGATAACCTCTGGGGCCACTGACCCTGGGTGACACAGAGGGGGATGCAACAGGGAAGGCCAGAGCCAGAGCAGCCGTTCTGGGGCAGAGGTTGTTTGGCCCTCTCCCATGGGGACGTGCTGGTGGGTAGTAAGGGGCGAGTGTGGGGCAACATGTGGTAGTGGCCGCTCTCCTCCCCATCGCCTGTCTCAGGGGACACACAGGAAGATAGCTCTGCACCTTTGGCCAGATCGCTGGGTTAGCCTCTCCCCCGGTACCAAGCAAGGACAGAGCATCACCCCCTCGACAGGGCGACATCTGGGGTGTGCTGTGCTTTGGGAGGAGCGGGCTGCCAGGCAGGGGGAAATCCCGGCAGGGATGGGGCAGAAGGGGGAAGGTGTGAGTGTGGGCCTCCTCTCCTGCCGGTTTCCCACCCCAGAAACGCAGCAGCGCTTGGCACGGAAACAGCCCAGCCAGCCCTGTCTGCTGCGAGCACATATTAATCTTGTTTTCCTCTGCTTCATCCTGCCTTTCCCATTTCCCTCACTGTGAGTGCCAGCAGCTGGGGACTCAAAGGTGAGCCATCATGTTTCACAGGGAAACACCCTGGCCCCACTCTCCTCCAAAACACCAGAGGGAGGGGAAGTGGGGAGAGGGCGTAAGAGAGGAGATCAGAGCTCCCCATCCTCTGCAGGGAGCACCCCTGTCCCCTCCTGTCCTGCACTCGCTGGTTTTCTCTTGCTTTGGTTGCCTGATGAAGATGTAAATGTTAGCTGACCCGCCTTATAACATGGCAGAGATTTGCTTTTGGCCCACACAGCCGACAGAAATTGAGAGCAGTGTTTGATACACCCCATATGCCTATCTGTGCGTGCGCATATATATATATATATGTATGTGTGTGTGTATATATATATATGTATATGTATATATCTGCATGTATATAGAGGAATAGAGAGTCCCTGTCTGTCCACCCCCTTCCCCCTCCCCGCTCCTCATGGCACCAAATCAAGCTGCGGCAGACTTGACAAATCTATTTGGCACGGTTCGCTCCACCGTTGCAGCCTGAACTGTGCGGAGTGCCGCACTAACGCAGGGAGGAATCTGCACCTTGAGTACAGACATCTGGGAACTTGCCTAACGCAGGAATGGCAGGGATTAATGCGGGCGGGGAATGCAGGGCTGCAGCCCCCCAGCACCGGGCCTGTGAGCGAGGGGCTTTGCCCTGGCCCCGCTGTGGCTCAGGGCTGGCAGCCAGTCATTTGGTGGGGAGGGAAAGCAGTCACCCGGATGCAAGGGGCAGGCAAGCCACCAAAAAGCAATTACTTATCCTCCAGCCTCGGGAAGTGTCTGCTAAATTGAGGCCAGAACATGGGAACGAAGCGAGACTGGAATAAAGGAGTGAAAAAGGAGGTTTGATTTTTCCTCTTTTTTAAGAAGAGAGAAAACAGAGTAGAAAAAAGCTGATAGGACTCGAGGGCCAAATCCTGAAATGGTGGCAATTCACGTGGCTATGGGACTACTTTGGGTTGACACCAGCCAGGTTTTAGGGTCTGGCTGGAAATTGGCCCAGCCGCACTGAAACCAGCCGTGCTGTCCTGCTCCACCCTGGCTGAGGACCCAGTGTCCAACACCCAGGACTGGAAGTACAGGGTATCTACTCTCCCCTGTGACTAAACCCACCCTCCAGGACAGATTCCCAACCCCAGTTAGACTCCAAAAGGTGAATTTATTGCCAGTGGTTATTTGAAACACTGAAATGTGTATTTAGCCCACCTCTTTGCCCGGCGTGCTGCCAATCTCCCATCTGCCTCGGCTTGCAGAAACAGCCCCAGTGAGACCTCAAACTCACCCATTTCCACGGGTGAGGAGAGACGGCCCTGGTTCACAGGAAGGTCTGCCGTGGCCAGTGGGTCCTGGGAGAGCATAGAGCCTCCACACCAGCACAGGACCACCACCTTTGGGTTATATGTGAGCTCTGCCATGAGCTGCGGCTCTGGAACCAGGGTGGTCTGGGGGAGCCCAGCTGTTGCGTCTCCTGTGCGGTGCTGGGCTGCCCTGTGTTTCCATCTCCCTACCTCTAAAATAGGACTAACACCACCTTACTGCCATGCGAGGAGGTTAAGTACTCAAAATATTGCAGGTATGAGACCCTGCTAGGGGCCTCTGCACAGAGAGGACTCATTCTGGGAAGCAGAGTGAATTTGAACTGTGTGACACACTGGGGAAGGGGAAATCACACGGCCCGGAAGGGAAGGAAATGTCTGGATGAATCCTGGACAGGGCAGGCTACTGCATTTCATGCCAGCAGCGCCTGTGCCAGAAGAGGGAGGGGACAAGCTAATTTAACAGAAGCGCTGAGCAAGCAGAAATTGCTGGGACATGCATGCGGGGGGAGACGTGTGGGACCCCAGCCACTGAGTTCACCCAGACAGATTACGGCACGTCCATGGGGAGGGCCTGAGCTGCGGCAGCAGTGCTGGTGGGCACCACAGAGGAGCAGGGAAGGGCTTTCCGGTGGTGCCCTTAACCAGGGGACAACCACATGACTGAGGCAAGTGACAGGGCAGGATCAGCCCAGCACCACGGCTGCCTTAACCCCTCTCCCCATACACCAAAGCTCCCATGCAGACCACCTCGAGCTTGCCTTGCCTGGCCATACAGCAGCACCCACAAGGCTTGGAAGGGCTGAACACCCATATTTACCCTCCCTGCCTCTCGCTCCCATCTCTGTGTGCCTCCCAGAAACACGATGAGAGTGTGCAGCGGCTCCCAGGGCTCAACGCATCCTTGCCGACCGTGCCTGCTAGTGCAGACCCAAAGCTCTGGCAGCCTGAATTGCTCCTCATTATTTATTGTTCATTTTGTTCTCTGGGATGGTGCGATCCCCTCTTGGGATTTGTGCCCTTTCATTTCCAGGCCTCAATAACTCCTGAACTACAGTTTCATGTGGTTTTGTGATTGTTAACCCAGCATGCAGACGGGGCTATGACCATAAAAGCTCAATGAATCTTGTATGGCAAAACACAGGCTGTGAAAGCATTTTCTCCTTCATTTGCAGTCAAAGAACATACTCTCGCCACCACGAAAGATGCAACAGCAGCCAGGTTTTCCAAGGAATAGTGTTTCCTCATTGCTGTGCAGTGGAGAAAGGACTATTTCTGCTCAGAGTATCATCAGTCATTTAGCCCTCATCAGAAAAAGGGTCCCTCACAGATTAAACTCTCTGAGCCTGTAAAATCTTTGTTCTATTTTCTCCCGTCTGCTGCAAGACTCACCAAGGTGCATGCAAAAGAGACAAAAAGGCCTTTACCTTGTGGTTTTTCCCGTGTCGGTACATCATCCAGTCCTCCCCATTGGTGCTGACCTCCAGCTTGTAGGTACGGACATAGTAGCCATTCTGGGTTTCTCTGGAGATGGCACCCTGTGTAGCAATGGCTGTGAGCACTGTCAAGAAGTGGAGGTCCACCTTAACCAAGGAAAAAAGGGATAAGAGAGAGAACGGTGACCACTTGAGAGCCCACGCTGGCATAGTTAGTTCCTCCTTCTGTCTCTGAAACATGAAAAGGTGTGAATTCCATCTGTCTCATTCCATCTGTGGACACACATTTCAACAGGCACAAACCCCCTGGGCTGACCTCAGCAGGATGCTTGCAGGTAGGACCATGGGACAAGAGTAACTAAGAATCTTCATGTCTGTCCATATGGGACCATCACAAACCCTTCTTCCTGCCTCAGACCAAGCAACAGGATCTGCACAGAAGTTCATGTCCATTAAATTAGGACAGAGGATGACTTTTTCCACATAAAATAAAAGCATGATGTCCAATTAGTGCTGCAGTTCCTGGTTTTCCCTCATGGGGGTTTTGTTGGGGTTTTTTGTGGGGGTTTTTTTCGGGTTTTTTTGTTGGTTTTTTTTTTTTACAATGTGGGTTGAGAAAGGTCAGCAGATCTGGCTTGGTAGCACTGCCATGAATGAAAAATGAGATGTCTGCTAGAGGCAATGACATCCACCACCTCCCGTTCCTAGTGCCCTTTAGCAAGCAGAGTCTCATGGCGACGTGACACAGGCAGAAGCCCTCTGTGGATAGATGCTGTGGATCTAACCAACTCCCAGGGAAAGCCTTTGCTCTGTCAGCCCCCTACCTGACGTCAGCCCGCTCACACTCCCCGCATCACTGATGAGATAAATATTATTCTAGTTGTTTTTCCATGTGCCTCCTGGAGACTTTGGTCCTCAGGCTAGTGGTGAAGTCAGTGGCCCTTGTAAGTGGCAGAGGTCCCTCAGTCTCTGTTGGTATGCTGGGAAGTCCATCAAGGTTTTGGGCAGGAAGGAGGGGGTGGGAGATGGACAGCAGGTCGAGTCAGCCCTCGTGCAGGCATGCTAATGGGAGAGCCAGTCTGTCGCATTTCATGGAGGCACTGCAGCTCCCCTGCTGCTCGCTCCCCATGAACCACAGAGGCAATAAAAAATTCAACAAGCCTTATGGTCAAAGGTCAGTTCAACAGCGTAACACTCCATTTGGTGGGGGAAGAGGCGAGGGGGCTGCAAAGCGTGCGTACCTGGAGGTACTCTTTGTTGCTGTCTACGTTGGGGGTCCAGCCGTTATCATCACTGTTGAGCCGGCTCTGTTGAGGAGTCCATCGCCCATCTGAGTAGGTGGAGGAGGCACTGATCTGCATGTTGGAGATCCTGCCAGACTCCATCCCCAGCGGCACGTTGCACTGGAAGTCTGGAGCGGACACACGCACAGAGATGACCTTACAGTTTCTGTACTTCACTCCCAAGTGGAAGGCAGCCCTGAACTATCCCCCCCAGCTAACCCCAAGCAAAGCTGCCTGCCTGGAACGATGAACAGATCTGCACCATCTTGCAGGTTGTGTGTGCTCACAGATGGCACAGATGAAAAATTACAGACGGGCAGCTTTATGTTTGCATGGCCCTCTGAAAACTAACACAGTCCAGATCTTTCTCCCTTTCTCTATCTCCTTCACCTTTGCAGTTTTGACAAAATTCTGTCCCTTCCCTCCATCCATCTCCATCAAGATGTCCCAAGTCCCCTTGCCACAAAGTTCCCCGTCTTCTTGAAGGCCGGAGGTGAAATCTAAGCACTGAGAAGGCAAGGAAGTACGGGCAGGCACAACGGGAGGGTGCTTACTGCTGTGCTGCCGGCAGGAACATCAAGGCCTGGAATGGGAAGTCTAAAGGTTTTGTGTGCGTGTGAGAGTATGGATGCATGTGTGTATGTGTCTGTGTATACGTGCATTTGCTATATGTGGTATCAGACCCATAAGAATTAACCAGCCAAGAATATGAAAGACTCCGGTATGCTTTCGTTTGGGTTTCCTCACTTCTAAGGCTTTAAAAGTCACAATTAGCTCAATCTTATTGCACGTCTCATATATTTTATGGCAGCTGTCCTGTAAAAACAATAGCAAAGAAAACGTTGATTGGAAATATCACATGGGCCAAAGCGTGCCGGTGCTGTAAACCAATGGGGCTCCACCAAACTGCCTGTGTTTTTAATGTGGCCAAGTCAACCCCAGGTGGAAATGATGGGCCACGATCTCAGTGGTAATATTAAAGTTACGATTTTACACCAGCATAAATCAAAAGGCCTGGCCCTTTAACAGCTCTTGTGCTTGATTTCTCAAGCTTTGTGTGTCATTAACATTGTATTTCCCAATCCTATTAAAGAACAGAATAGAAAGGGGATTAAAGAACAGATCAACTGAGAGTGGATATAGGTAATGGTGAAGAGCTCGTGCTTGTCTGTAACTCTCACAGCCCCAGCAGAACATCCCTAACTCAATCACAGAGCAAGAGGCTGTAACCCAGTTGCCCTAGCGCTGCACAACCCCTACCCTACTGTGCTCTCTGTCATGGGCTTTCAGTGTTGGGTCAGGGACCCCCTCTCTTACTCTGGGACTGAGGAGTTTCCTGAGGGCTGCTTCTGTTGTATCACAGGTTCGCTGCTAACAGAGGTTGAGAACTGTAGCTCTGATGTGAAAAAAACCGTGGGAAAACAAACTGAACCTTTCCTTGCCTGCAAGCATTATCACAAAGAATCAAAATGCTCTTCATTCTCAAAACACACAACTTCCTCACTCCACATCAATTTACCTCCCTTAACAAGGGATCTAAAACAAATTTTAGTTTGAAATTCTTAGAGCTTTAGGCATTTTTTAATTAGACAAGAAATTCCAATTTGTAGTTCGGGGCTGTGAATTTTTGAAAAAACAGAGAGAGGGGAGTATTTTCCCCCATGCTTTAATGAAACCACTGTACCTGCTGGGCTAAAGTCTTCCCCTAAATCCTTTGGGCTGAGCAGATACATGAAGGATTCTATCCCAAAAGGTATTGAGAAGACTTCACAAGCAAGTGAAAAAGTCAAAGAAAGGTCAGAAAGTGTGATTCTTACTGAAATCTCACTTTTAAGAGAAACAGAGAACACACCTAGTGTAACCGCTGTCTGCATTGCCAGTGGGGGACCAGCCCCTGGACACACTCCTGCCTGCCTCACTCTTGCATGTGCCAGGTGAAAGACTTGGGAAAAACAGGTGACACAACTGCCTAAAGTCATACACACACATTCCCAACTTACTTTCTGGGACTTCCTGCTGGATCAAGTAGTACTGAGCAGAGAAACCGTCTTTAGCCACTGCCAGGTCTGTGTGGAAGGTGAGCGAGAGGACGCCAGTGGTTGAGCGGATGTCCGACGGCATCTTAGTGCCACAGTACCTGCCTATCAAGGGGGCAACTGCAAAAGAAAGAGCAGCAAAGGTAACGCCTGCTTTTCCACCAGCCTCCTGGTTCACCAGCAGACTGGCATCACTCACCAGAGATGCCTTAGCAGGACCCATCGGGATAAAAGAAAGGCTTTAGGGATGGACTATTTTTTATATCCGCTGGCCTGGTGCCATGCAGTGCACCACGCAGAAATATTCACTGCAGCAGGCACTGCTCTGCAATTCCTGGGAAATGCTCCAATCTGCTCTGTTTTTCAGTGTTGGTATGGGGTAGGAAGGTCCTCTCAGCACTGTACGAACGCACTGCCCTTCCCCGAGGGAACACCAGTGGTATCTTGAAGTGTCCCACGGGGCTTTTCAGATCAGTGGTTACAATAGAGCAGAAGTTAGGGGTTTAATGCATGCAAGTGTACCGTCCCCACAGCTGGCCACGGAGCACCCTGACGGCAGGCTGCATGCTGCAGCTACGTCTGAGGTAAGGCACCTTTGGTGCTCAAGCACAGATTGCACAGGTTTGGAGCTTCGTGAGACACCAAGAGAAGCTGAGGAGAGCAGCGCAGCACCCCGTGGCTTACCCTGAGGGATGCCATCCCAGATGTCCAGCCAGTCGTACTTGCAGTCTCCTTCCCCTGCCTGCAGCGGGTCGTGCTCGAGGTCGAAGAGCAGGAAGTGGAGGAGGATTTCTGTCTTCGGCTTGGCTATGATGGTGAAGACGCAGTCTAGGTTGTGTGGATACTTGTCAGGGAAACCTGGAGACTCAATAGTGCCATTGGAAGCAGTGAAGTTTCTGGAGCAGTCCTCAGAGCCTGTAGTGGCAGGAAAAAGCCCACAGCCTTAGCAACAATGCAGCTTAATACCAACAGCTCGACACACTGTGGAAACCCCATTTTGAGCTTAGAGGGGTTGCGTATTCACTTCTGGAAACGTCCTGTAACCCAAGAGCTGTGTGAATTCCTGCAAGGACCAAGAGGGTGATTTTCAAAGCTGTCCACAGGTGGAGAGACAAGGTCTGTGTGTTCACTGGAGTGGACAGCATGTGTCTAAATCCCTCAGACAGCCCTGCAAATGTAACCCACATGCCACTGCTCATCCCCGTGCCAATTACTCCAAAAACAGGACTAGGAAAGTGATCCCATCCAAAGCCACGGCTGCGATTTGGCAGGCCAGCACCCTGCTGTGTCCCCCACGCCAGTGGTGGTGGCCCTGCTGGGGAAGGGAGGCCATGCCAAGCTGGGCTGGGCTTCCCCTGCCAGCCCTACTTGCTGTCTGCTGGGCTCCCCAAACAGCGACCTGCTAGCAGACCTGCAGAGGGGCAGGCCAGCATGCAGGGGGCTGCCGTCCACGGTCCTCACTGCCGCGGCTGCCACCCAGCTCCAGGTCTGATGGAGGAGCCCCTGTTTGGGGAGGGGGCTGCCTGGGAAGGGGCAGAGAGGAGTAATGGGGATGCCATCCCTTTGGAAAAATTTGTCCCGAGGGACTTGTCTCCTGCAACGTCTCCCTCTTTGGCATGGACATCTGTGCCTCAGTTTCCTCTTGAGAGAATCTGGAAGCACAAATATTTACACAGTGAAAGGGCTCGGGGGAGGGTGCCAATGTCTCCACTGTTAGCTGGAAACTTTTGGAAACCCTCGGGAAGCGTGCAGTTAGCCTGCAGAGCCCCAAGTCCCACGCAAAGGATGAGGGGCAGCTCCAGCATATGTTCCCGCTCCACGGCTGTGGCAAGAGTGGGGGGTAATGGGGGGCATCCCTGATCTCTGCTGAGAGGAGGAACAGAGCCCTCTTTCTTACAGACTGAGCCATCCACACCAGAAATGCAAGTTATTTCTATCCTTAAGGAAGATCTATGCGTGGCGAGGAGAGCAGACAATGTTGCCTCTTATTTATTGCTGACCTCAGCACTGGCCTCAGCTGCAGCCGGGCCAGCTCCGTGCCCCCTCTCACACAGCCAAGGTGCCTCAGGGTGGCCGGGGAAAGAGGAATTTGTGTCGTATTCATACCACGGTGACTTTGAAACCCCTGCGCTGTGGAGACAGGACAATAGGCAACAGAAATCTGCAGCCTGAAGCTATCAGAGGCAAAAGGGGATGTCAAGAGGCTGCTGGCCACCGCTGCAACCCGGCATTAGCATTCACAAAGGTTTCTGCTTCGGTTTTACTGGGATACTCTCCTTCTCCTCTATAAACCCTTCTGCTCCAGCTCTTCCAGGCAGCATGAGCCTTCCTGGGACTAATGGGAGACTTGTTATTCAATTCAGCATTAACCTACAGGAGTCAGGCCAGCAGCCCGCAGTAATAGCAGGATCCCGGCACTGCATTATGCAGCGCCTAGCTGGAGAGCTACTCAGGAGAGGCTCTTAATTGACTTCCTAATGAAGCAGCCAGCTTTTCTGGTGTGAACCTGTGGGGTAAAACACAGAGGCAAAAAATAAGGCCAAACACAAATCACAGCGTAACGCTGAAAACAGGGATAAGGTTGTACTTCGTTCCAAACAGCTTGAGAGAGAAATAGATAAATAGGGAAAATAACGCAAGCTCTGAGCTAGGGAGAAAATCAAAGACTAAACCCAGAGTCAGGGACTGTCCTCTAGAGACAGGAGAGAGACATAACTATGTCACTGCATTAGACAACAGCAGTCTCCTCATGGGGGGCTCTTATCGCATTTGGAATCTTTGTCTACAGTTTGGCTGATACCAGCAAACACGACGATCAGGTTTTTTATAAGGAAGCTGCAGATAATCAACGGGAGTCATGCTGGCTTCGGCTGCATGGACTGGCCTGAGAGGAGACTTTGATGCCCAGCGATGGGGAGCTCAGGCTAGCTCTGCCAAACTGACTCATAAAGTGAGCAGCAGGGAGGCTGGACCAGCCAGGGCACGGCTCTTTTGTCAGCCCGAAGCCCGCTGACTGATACCCATCAGGGGATTCAAAGACTGGTATGCAGTTGTTTGTATGCAGATTGCTCCTCTCTCACACTGCGATAAGGGAAATTTAGCACAAGGTGTGGAAATAAATGCTCAGATGAAACGAGTTGGTTTTTTAGGTCACCTTTAAGAAAGAAAGACGCTGCAGCCATACTGCCTTTACTGATGTGGACGATGACAATCTGATGACCTTTAAAGCTGGTGACACCCTTGCTGGCTATGCTGACAGCTCAGAAGGAAACTTTGCCCGTGCCTGCCTGCAAACAAAAGGCAGGGTTTGCTGGTACTGCGGTGGCGCGGCAGCCAGCGCTGCCCACTGCCCTCCCTGGGAGCCCTGGTGGGCAGGTGGGCTGGGGGTGCTCCTGGATCACAAGCTCATCCCCGCTCCCAGGCCAAAACCTGCCTTGCCAGGCTGGATTTTGTGGGCTGTGGCTGGAAGAAAGCATGGTTATTTCTGGAGAGGATGGCTGCCTGCGGGGGGTGGTGGTGGTGAAAGAAGCCCCAACACCACTTGAGACCTGAGGGCAGCTCTGCATGGACCTACATCAAGGGACACAAACTCAGTTCCAGCCTCCATCCAACATCTGCTCTCCTCCAGAGAAGCCTTTGCTTCCTCTCCCTCCCTGCCAGCAGCAACAAAACCTCCTTTTCCCATAAATTTGGCCCCTTGCTGGCTCCCACCCAGGCAGACGTGGTTCCTGCCTGCCGTCCCTTCCCATTGCCACACTCAGTCTGACCTGGCCACCTCAGCCAGCTGGGCCACCCACATCGCCCATGCCCCGGGGACTCAAGGCACGGACCCGATGTGAGGACAAGCACAGCCCAGCGCAGTCTGCTGGGCTCAGAGGGGGTGTACACAGGGAGCGAGGGGCAAGGGAGGCTGAAGTGGGTCAGCAGTCTTCCACCTGAACACAGGCATTCTTTGCCATCCTCCATGCTGGCAACTGGCCTCAGCAAACCCCAAAAGCCAGATGAACCACTAAACTCTTTCAGGACTAATGTGCACCCTAACCGTTAACAAATAGCGGTGGTGAGCTGGTTGCACCACACAGCTTAATGGCTGGTTACACAGCCCAGGCAACCACTGGCAACAGCCATTTCCTCAGCTACCTGAACCTCCAGACATCTCCTGTCCTCACCATTTCACAATGAACTTGGGGAGTCCCATTCCCATCCTTTTGCAGCAGAGCCTCCACATTCACATGTACTTGCTGCCTACACACCTCTGCCTGCTGCACAGGTGGGCCGGAGCCCCTGGTGCTTGTGCTCCCTGCCTTCCCTTTGAAGAAGCTGGATAAGTGACCCTGTCGTGCTCCTTTCTGGTTCTTCACCAGGCACGGGCATGTTTTTCATGCTGGATGCAATGATGTGACAGCCACATCTGTGATTTCTTCCAACGCACCACCGAAAGAATGCAGGGACAGGGCAGGTGCCTGCATCCCCAAGCAAAACACACTCTTGTTCCCTCAGCATGCCGGCACACCTCTCACTCACACACGGCACGCACGGAGTGGGTTTTATTTTCTCAAGCCTCCTTCTTCCCAGACACACAATTCTGGCAAATATTTAGACAGAAATACTATTAAAAGGCCTTTGAGCAGGTTTTCCTTTCCTCCATAATAGTTCGGTATTAAACAGAATCATGAATAGTTCCTCTTGTATCTGCCTGGAAAGGCGCTGTCTCAGCCCTTGACAGCACTGCTGACAGCAGTCCCTTGAAAACCAGCGCTCCCCAGTTACAAACCCCACTTCAAGAGCGAGAAAATACAGTGTCATTGATCAGCCCAGAATCACAACTCCACAGGAGGGGGAGCTCCATGCGCTCCTAACGGAGGGACAATCCCCACTTAGCCCTAACAAGCTCCACACATGCCAGGGAGAAATGATAAAAGTCTCTAGTCCTTGAATACAAGAGAGCATTTAACAAGGAACCCTGCTTTTGATGCTGCACTGTGATCCAAAAATGCACTATCATGCACCACTACTATCTTTACCTTCTTGGAAATATGATGCAATAGACTTGGTTAAATTAAAAAAAAAAAAAAAAAAAAAAGAGCTCTTTATCTCTGGACAAAATGCTAAAAATCACATTGAAAAGGTGGCTAAAGACATCACCTTGTGCAGATCATCGTGGCAAACAGCCTGGGAGACAGGCACTGACTCAGACACTCACCTGTCTTATAGATCTCGTAGCGCAGGGAAAAGCCGGCACCTTGCCGTGCGTAGTCCGAGGTGAACTTGATATAGAGAGAGGGGCCAGAAGAGATGATGGTAGGAGGTGCTATGTTCCCACAGTGCTTGCCCAGCAGGTCTGCCGCTTCACTGTCCCCATCTCGGATCTCGATGTAGTCGTACCTGTGGAGGCAGGCGAAAAGGCAGTAAAACCATCTGTCACAGGGACGCTTCAGGATGCCAGGAACAAACACAAAACACTTCTTTATATCTGCTTATTTCACAGAACATCTTCCAGACATGTACCTGGGACTCTGTCACTCAAACCACACCACACCCCCCCCACTATCTTTTTTCCCTTTTGTCTGGCTACATTTAAGTCCCTTCCTCTGTCACTCCTCATATGATTAATTTATTGCACCCACATCAACTTCGGAGCCACCGTGCAAAATTTAGGACACAATTTACCTCCATTTCTACAAGATTCCTTTGCCATGGGAGAGGCTCAGAGACAACTCTTCTGGGGCTGCTCTCCTTCCCTTACCTCTCTCCTTAAGTGCCATCCACTCAGCTTATTCCACCACCCAGGTGGGATTTGGCCAAGCACGCACCAAGCATTAAACAAATAGTCACTGTTCAATCCATGTGAGAGGGTAGCTATTTTGTGCACTGACAGCACACTGGTTCTTTAACAAGCGTGGCCAGTACACACACTTAGCGCTTGGACAGTAATACTGATCCTCTTCTATTAAGTGCTAACAAATGAGACAAAGTGCTGTGTAAGAGCTGGGTAACTACATTCGCTATTGCCTGATCCTTGTACACCCTGTAACAACAACCTGCCTTTGCTAAACCCTACCTGGAGATGTCCCACCTGCCCACTGGCATGGCTCCTGGACATCTGCATGGTCTGGGGGAGGAATATGTTGGGTTGGAAGAGTTGCCTCCTGGTGCAGAGACAAGAGTTTGTTGCAAAGTCTGGCTGAAAGGTGAACCTCCCACAGTTTCCTTCATATTTTCTAGGCCATGACTAATAGCAAGGTAGTATCGGGCTCTGTGTACTGTGAAGACACAAACAGCTTTTATGTGAACATCTTGTTCTTCAGCTGCTTTCTAACACCCGCGCTCTCCCGCCCCTCTTCTCCTCTCTGGTCAGCACGCTGCTATTTACAGAAACTGCCCATCTCTCTTCCCACTGTTTATTCGCTTTGTATCAACCTGTTTGAACAACATGCTACAGCTCCTCTCATGGGGCCAGGGAGGGAAAAAGCATTTCCAGGCTGCCAGAAATCTGCCTTTCTTCTCTGTCACAAGATCTCCTGTTTGGGAATGGAGAGTTGAAAGGAGAAGTAGCTTGCTGGATACAGAATGATCCTCATGTGACTCGTTCCTGTTCTGTAAAACACACATCGGCAGGCAACAACCTCAAAACAAACTTACAGGGACTAAGTGTGCTCCTCCACAGAGAAAGATGGCCCGGACGGGTTTGGTTGCACTCCTTTCTGGGACTAAATCAGGCTGAGAGCCAGAAGCAAAAATGCCTGCAGATAAAATCCTGTCTATGCTGGACCAAGCACTCAGCTTAGCTGCAATCACCCAGCCTTTAACTTCATTACAGACTCAATTGGCTTGGCCAAGGTGAAATCCAACAGTCTTGAGAAGAGGCACTCACACAGGGAGAGCACTCGGCTTAGCTGGTAGGTAGACACACAGCAATGTAAATGAAGATCTGCTCCCTCTGCTCCCCTCAGCTCTGCGTAGCTATCACCTCGTGACCCCTTATTACCCTGACACTGTCCAGCAGCACCCTGCATGACCCCACTAATGTCCATCATGTGTGGCTTGATCCTACCATTTCCCCAGGGAGGAGGAACATAGAGGGCAGTGTTATTGCTTCTTTTAAGTAGAATTTTTTCCTCCTTGTTTGTCTATTTGTTTAAAGTAGCACTGAGCAAACAGCAGGGACGTTTTGTTCTCTAAATAACTACTTGCTCTCAGTGTGCTTGCAGCCCTTCCACATCAGAAGTACACATCTGTGCTGCAGAACTACCGGCTACTAGTGAAATTGTGAATATGTGGCAAAAAATTAATTTGGCAAAAAACATGAATGTTGGCAAAACACACTTCATGGAGCGGATTGTAAAAGCTGCCATTTGCATGGCACAGGCAGAGGTTAGCTGCATCCCAGGGAAACACATCTGTGTGTCTCCTCGTGGGGTTATAACTCGCCAACACAGTAAACACAGTACGTGGCCCCAACTACTTGACTGTAATGATCACAGCTTGTGCTGTAGCCAACACACCAGACATCCCACCAGCGCTGTCCACATGGCTCCTCAAACCACCCAGTGCTGTGGGAGCCCTGGCAATTTCAGAAGCAAATTCTGGACCAAGAAATGTTTGGTTATTGAATGGGTGAATAACTTCCAATAATACATACAATTTGGGAATATTGCAATCTGCTCATGGGCAATCTGCAAATGGAAAATTAAAAGAATGTATCTAGTAAGTAAATCATCAGGAAATATTTGCCTCTCTGAATTAAACCCTGTTTTGCTTTATCCATGCATCTAACTGAGCTTTCTCCTACTGGAGCTAATCCTTAATAAATCAAATGTTACAAACAACTTAAAAAGCCCCTAGGAGAAGGTCAGGGAATCATTTTTGCCAAATGTAAAATGAATATAAATGCATAAGAGTTTTCTTCCCTAGCTAAAAAATCTTGGCCCAAGCCCTGTGCTCTTTATATGGCAAAACTCTCTTGTCTTCAGGTCATATAAACAGAGTGTGAACTGGGAGACTATTACACTCAGGAGATAAGTCCTGTCCAGATGAGCAGGAGCACCTACTTCCTCTCCAACACAGCAATTAAGTTTTAGGCTTTCAAAACGAAACACCAAACACGTCCGGTCCAAACCGTGAAACTTTCGAACTTCAGCAAGAACACCGGCTAATCCCCATTGCAGAGTCTTTTGGCATCATGTGCTTCAGTCATATCCGTGCTTTGGCCCACAATAAAACAAGCTGATAAACCCTATTCTTCTCATGTTGGGTCACTGGCCATGTTAAAATCTGGTTTGGCCAGACCTTTGCTTCTGTTGAGCTTAAGCATGGTTTCCAGACTTTGTTCTTCCCGTGTGAAAAACAAGAAGAAAAATTGGAAGGAAGAAAACCCAACCCTGGGGATGCTTTTGACTCTAACCATTTCATTTCCAGATAATTACAGAGTAGGGCACAGCTGGGTGGGACACATTTAAGCAGCGATAGCATTCAAACTGTCTTGACCAGTGCTCAGAAATTTGCATTTCACTCATATAACCAAATCCATTGTTTCAGTCAGTGTGCACCAACATCCTTGTGGGCTGACCTCTCTGGTATTACCTCCACTGGGCAAGCTGCCATCTCCAAGCACATTTCATGGCCATTTCTCCCCATCTAGGCACTGCTCCAATGAGCCAACCATAAATATGCGAGGGCAGGGTGCAGCATCCCTAACCCACAAGTATACTCAATGGATTAACCAAGTCTTCTTGCAGGGAAGGTGACCGCAGTTGGCTGTTCCTCCAGCGGCAGGATATTTTCAGCTGTTGCTTAAGTGGAAAGGCCAGCCAGTTGGTTTGAAACCACCTCAAACAGAGGCTTCCACCAGGGAGTTTTAAGGCAGGGAGGCAAAGCTGAAGTGCTTTTAACTGCCCAGACAATGGGGAGGGGTGAGAAAGGAGGGAAATGCATTGCTTAGACACTCTCCTTGGAGCTGTTTAACAGAATTAAACAGAAAACATACAATGCTTACAAATATTGCTGCATTTTTATTAAAGATTTCTAGTAGAAAGTGCTTTGCTGATGTTAAGAGAGCTTTTATAAACTAATTATAAAGCACTTCTAATGCCTGTATTACTCGTGCTTGCCTGTTTTTTCCTCCAGTCAACCCTCTGTGCTTCCCAGTCTATTTTCCCTAAGTCACTTTGCTGCTGGCTCTCCAAACAAGGCTGCAAGGCACAATAAAGGCAAACAAGCCCCAATCGCAGTGATTACAAGAAGACCTCCACCTTTTCAGTCCTTTTCTGTTGTGAAATGGCTAATCTGCTCCCTGGCCATTCCATTCAGCTGTGCTCCACCATCCCCAGAGGCCAGCACAGACCTCCCAGGTGCCCACCCAGGCACTGGGAGCTCCAGAAATGCTGTGACCCACCAGAGAGCCTGCACCATTCCTCTGGGTGCTCCTTTCCTGAGGCACACAACTCAGCACAAAGCACAGTTTTGGGACTTGTACTGCTCCACACATAATCAACAAACATATTGCCCCTCAGCCCCCACGTCGAAGAGATGCTGAGTCTTTCCCCAATGAAGCATGCTGCAAGGACATTATGGGGACATGAGCTTAGGATGGAAATACAAATGATATGTATTTATACGCTCACAGCCATATTATGAGTCCTCCCAAGACATAAACTTGTGCAAGCCTTGCTTCAAAGCCTGAGGAGAGCTGGCTCCCCTGACCAAGCTCTGACCTAGCTGGCAGCTTTCTCAATCTCTTCCCTGAGTTATGATTTGGAGTAGGTGAGGGCTCGCGCAGAGCTAAGCCTGGTTTCCAGTGCTTGCCAGGGCTGCAGAGAGTTGCAAGGCTCTAACCTGAACTTCCCCAATGTTTAATTTGGAGCTGTTATTTATAGGCATTTCCATGGGGCTCATGACTGCACCTGGCCAACAGTAATGATGGGATCCTCACGAGACCCTGGGAGATGGGAAGACAGAGAGGAGCAGTGGCTGGGCCAAGGTCACACAGGAAGTTTGCAGCACAGCTGAGAAGAGAAGCCAGCCTTGATTAGACAGATTATATTATATTGAAGGAGTCTGGCCTAGATAGGCAGAGAGACAAATAGGTACTGACTGCATGCCAACAGCCCCAAATTTGGGAATGCCCAGTGTTGACTCGAGCCTTTGAGACCTCTGGTCTGCTTGAACCATATGTCATGGTGTCTCAAATGCATCTGCTGAGAATAGGAAGAGAAACTGCGATTCTAGTGAAATTCAGCAGGCGTTAATACTCTGCAGGTAGCTGGGGGAAGGCATGGGGAAATTGCTTAGCCACTATGGCAGCTGGTAAATGCAATTGTTCCTTTTGAAAGGGTGGTGAGCGGTTTGTTTCTCATAAATTGTTATATAAAGCGTAAGGTTTTTTA